GTAATGGGATTAGGATTGGTAATTGGGAGTAGGAATAAGTTTTAAAATCATATTTGGTATGTGATGGGATTAAAAAAAAACTCAAATCAAACAAAAAAAATTGAGCTAAAAGAACAATTGCCCTTATCTTTTTCCTTCTCTCCCTTCATTTTCCCTTACCAGTCACTTGTCCTCTTCTTCCTCCTTTTCCTCTTTCAATTTCCCTCTTTCAACACTTTTTTCTTGTGCAAGTATGAGCTATATGATCTTAATGCCTCCCCACATGAAATGAAACAATCCATGTGATTATTTTAATGCCTTTAGAACAATATTTGGAACAAGGAAAGCAAATGAGATCCATGGTGAACAATCCATTATTGTACTACCTTTGGAACAATCCATCCATGATTTTAATGCCTCTCATCCCTTGACTTCAATTTTTCAACTGACATCACTAGATCTAGAACAAGAAAAGCAGATTTCAATTTCAATCTTGCCGTCCCTACTCTTTTTCTTACTTTCGTCAAGGTCGATTGTTATTGCAAGTCTTCGTTGTTCGTTGCTTGTTTGTTGTTGCTTTTGTCAAAGTTGTTGCCCGCTAGGGAGGAAGTTTTCGTCGAACTCATCATGGTAAATGTGCAATAAGGTGAAGAGGAAGGGAACAAAGTCAGATATGGTATTTTTTAGGAAGGCATTTTGGTCATGAAAATTTCAATCCTAAAATTACTTTTGCAATACCATGTGTAAAAGGCGTCCTAAATTAGGACTTAATTATCATACTAACTATGGTTAATCAAGAACTAACCCAAGTGGATTGTCCATTACGAGATTAACCTAAATAAATTCTTAACATGTATTTTTCACAAACTATTTAATACAAAGGGATCCAAGTCTTTAAAATATTTTAAGAACTCATATCATTTAATTAAACATATGCGGAAGCATGATAATAACTATTTTTAGTTGCACAAATATTTTAGCCCATTATTATAATACAAACATCAAAACATATTCTCAAGGGCCCAAAATGTCTTTCTATCCAACACAAAACCTATAGTGCAAGTGGATCAAGAATATATTATCCTAATTGGCAATATCATAAACTTAATACACATATCAACATAAAAGGAGAGAGGCCTACAGAAGTGATTATTATCACTTGGCCTAATGCTCCTTTCCTCTGTTCTTCTCAGATGAGCTAGCTCCTATAATATGTTAAAAGAGAAGGATGAGTACAATCACTCAATAACCAAGGTATATCTAAGTTATACAAATGCATGATAATTAATCATGAATGTAAGTAGCTAATAAATTTATCAAGGTGACCATTCAAACAATCACATTAATAACATGTTAATCACATTAACATTTAACTCATGTGAATAATTTCAAGAATAAAGTCAAGTGTAAAATTTGCACAAATAGCCATATATACATTATTTGCATAATTACTGTATGTTCTCATTTCTACAATTATAATTATATTCTCAACATAGCCATCAATCACTTAAATGGCATGATAAGAATAATATGCATGATCGATCTTTTCCTTATATCTCCCCTTATTTCCTCTGACATGAAATCCATGAGCCAACAACCGAAAGGGATCGTCCATATGGTGAGACTACCTAAGGCCTTAATTATATCATGAGGGGCTACCGGGTCAGGGTTACCTTACTTATTTATGAACACGATTTTCTCCAAATCACACACTATGAGGTGTCATACCCAAAACTCCAGGTAGGCCAGTAGGGTCAAGTCCCTTAATAGAAACAATGCTACAATACCTTACAAGGTAAGTAGCGGCTATAACCCCTAGGATTATTGGTTAATAGCCAAGTACCATATGGATTTTGCATAACTGCTAACTTATTCACTAAGGCGAACTCCCGCTATATGATCATGTTCATGAGAAAATGCATTTCAAAAACTCATATATATATTTCAAAATTATCCCACATGCTCATCAACTTTCATCACTGTGCATAATCCACAACTTATAACCAAAAGTGTACATATAATCATTAACCATCAATCTCATTACTCACAAGTCATAGAGTTTCAGCAAAGTCACATGCATTATAAATAACTATTTCAAATTTAGATATATATATATATATATATATATTCTTTTGTTTCACTAACATAATTAATTAATTAACCTACAAATGTATAAAATAGATTTTCTCCGGTTACCTCAACCTTTGAAAGGTCAAAGGTTACCCCTCAAGTTACAACACTTCCAAAACTTTTCAAAACTTGAATGGTGTCAAAAGAAAATTAATCTACAATTGATCATATACCAATGTATCAATAATATTATTAACACAATTTTCACTCATACTCTAACACCTAAGTATGTATTTTATTTTATTTTATATTTATTTTATATATATATATATTTTAAGAATTTAGTCTTAGTCTCTTGAATTTTAAAATTTAATTTCATGTATTTGAACCTATCTACTTGGTTCAATAGTCTCCTTCACAATAATTTCATTCAAATAATTTTCTAATATCAAAATTTCTCTTTTTATTTCAAAAATTCGCACATAAAAATACCCAAAAATTGCAAACTTGATTTCAAGCCTAGAATCATTATTCTATAGCCATAATAATTTATTTCTCATCTCAAATAATCATCTAAATATCAACAAATCAATTTATATTTTTAGATTTAACCAAAAATCTACCCATAGGAATCTAGGGATAAACTCAAATGCCTTAAATTCCAATTTATCAATAAAATAATACTCTAGAATATTTATTACACTACTAACAACCTCAAAACCATATTTATTCAACATAAATTCATCTCTCTTCCAAATTCTAAATTTTCTACCACCACAAAATCAAAAACCAAAGAGAAAAGATGACTAAGAAAAATATTTGGAACACTTACCTAGTCTTAGAATATTTAAAATCTCATATGAAGTATCCTATTATGGAGCTTCACCTTTTAAATCAGTCAGCCTCTCCGTCAGCATCGCTCGCTCTCTGCCTCAGCTCGCGTACAGGGAAGAAATGAAGAAATGAAGGAAAGATGGTGGTTTTATAAAAAAAAATACTGCAGGTCCCACATGTTTTGTTTATTGTTTCCTCTTTCCTCTCTCTTCTTTTTTTTTATTATATATGTACACACATTACACCAAAAGCGTCCCTCCTCCCCATTTTTTTTATTTTTTATATATATGTAATTATGGCAGCCGAAAGCATCTCTTCTTCTTCTTTCTTTTTTTTTCTCGTACCTTTTCTTTTTTAATAAAAATAATAATAATAATTTAATATTTTTTAATTAATTAATTAATTTTTTTAATTTTAATTTAGAATTATATTTAGATTAAATAATCATTTTCTACTAATTTGCTCACCTCTAAATATTTTTTAAAATTTTTATTAATTCAAATTAACTATTAAAATTTAAATTGAGATGTTACACCATGGAGGTGGTAGGTTTTAGTATTCCCACCTAAGTGGGACTGAGTAATCTCAAGTACTGTTGAATGCTTCATATTAAATATGTTAAAGTTGGTATTATTCTAACTCAATCCCGATCCTTACACACCAATGCTACGTAGCAAACATGGCCCTAGTATCCAAATAATACCATTATCATTTCCTTTTATATATTTTATCATCTGAAATATTTAATTCAAAGCAATTTATAGGAATAAAAAGGGAAAATCTTCATGTCAACATTTCTCAAAAGTATTATATCAAACATTCTGAGGCAATCCAAAGCCTAATTTATGGATAACAGTTTGATTCTTGAATTATGAACCAAAATATCTTTCCAAAAAATTATAATTTCAATCCCAACCTTTCTTATGGAGAATAATTGCTTCCCATAACAATTTAATTACCAATAACACAATTATCACACCTGTTTTGCCACTATAAATCAACATTTCTCCTTTAAGACATCTTACCAAATACTTTGCAAGTAATATTGTTTAAACCATAATACCAAACTCTCTTTGCTTCTAATCTCCTTCCAATAATTCCCATTATCAATACTTTAGATTTAATAACCTCCCAAATTCCTTTCTTCATCACAAACAAATTTTTCACCAAGAATTAATCTATCTCAAAGAAAGTTCAGACCCATGTCTATCCTCCTCAAGTAACAACCAAGGCAAATATAAACAAAAATACCTATCAAACATGTGTTCTTAGACTTAAATTTAGCTAGCTCAAACCTGAATTGCTCCCCAATTCTCACACCACACACAAACAAGCGGGAGGATTAAATGCACTATAACCCATTTCAATACACACATACACACATTGATCATCTGCAAGGAAAGAAAAACATTCAAAGGTTTTCACCTAAGATCAACAATGGTAGAAGTAGAGGATGCTGGCTGCACGAACAAGGAGGAGGAGGAAGATGAACGACGAGCAAAGCGTGTGAAGCAAGGAAGACAAAGAAGAGGACTCATGATAGTACCCCCATGGCAGCGCACAAACAGAGGAAGAAGGAGGAGGATTCAAGCGCACCCTTAATGGTCAGAGATCGAAAGGATAGAGGAAGAGGAAGGCAGTCTTGCGAGTTTTGGAAAATACAAAAAATACAAAAAGGGAGAATAATAATGAAATGTGATGCATGCACTTGGGCTAGAGTTTTGATTCATCCATTCATTTTTTGTAAGGGAAAATAGTAATTTCATTAGGGGATGACGTAGAAATAAATCTTACACTTGTTACCTCCAGAATTCAAACACCGCACCGGCAATTAAACACCAATAAAGCTACCACTAAGCCATTATATCTTTTCTTTTTCTTTTTCTTTTTTTTTATATATATCTGACCCAAAATTATTTAAAATTCGGCAGCGAGGTACCCCCAGACACTGACACATCCACGTGTCAAACAACGGAGGCGCCACGTGATCTGCGCTTCCATTCCATTCTGCCTCTCTGGTCCCAAGTGTCAAACTGTGGCCTCTCACCCTTCGTCGGTATTCACTTCACTTGACACTAGTCATTTTCTGTCTCTCCTCAAAAGCATACAAATAACGAAAATCTCTCCATGGCTATTTCTTCGACGGACGCCAGGGCCCAACCTTTGCCGGCACCGGCGATCACGCCGACAACAACACCACTTCCACAGCAATAATCACCTCGTTTGAGCCCACTTACCTCCAGGACCTACCTCACCTCACCGATTACGTCCCGGACCTCCAAAGCCGCCCGAACCCGCTGGATCACAATCCCTACTTTCATACTGTGGACGGGTTCTACTTGAGCCGATCTGACGTCATTCTCCGTCAAATCACCTATGATCTCTCCGGAATCTTCCCTTCTCCCTCACGGCACTTGGCCTACCACAGGGCAGGTCCACGCAAAGACATTTACTTTGACCCGTCGACCGTACGCGCCGCCATTGTGACCTGTGGCGGTCTGTGCCCAGGGATGAACACCGTGATTCGGGAGCTCGTAACGGGATTATGGGACCTCTATGGAGTGCGTGAAATTTTCGGTATTGTTGCTGGATACAGAGGATTTTACTCCTGTGAGCCTCGGCAACTGAACCCTAAGCTCGTTCAAGATTGGCACAAGAAGGGTGGGACGGTGCTTGAAACTTCTAGAGGTGGTTTTGATCTTGAGAAGATCGTCGATGCCATAGAAAAGCATGGTTTCAATCAGGTTTGTACTATCTTGAGTTGGTTTCAGGAGGTGATTTTGTTACAATTCTCAATGTCTGGTACGAAGTGATGGCAATGATTATGATGGTGTTTTAATTTGTGACTACCGTTTTTTGTTTGTTATGGACGTTCTGGGCTCCATGCTTTGATTGGCACTTAGCAGTATAGATTGCTTGATAGATTTTTTTACTCTAAAATTTCAAGAATTGGCTATCCAATTAATGATAAACGTATTGCGCTGAGTGCAGAGAAGACTGACAATGAAGGTGTTTTAAAGTTTGTGATTAACGCTTTTTGTGTTATATAATCTATAACCCGACATAAAGTTCTCGCTTTGATTGCCATTATACTTTGCTTGATTGATTATCTTACACTGTGTAATAAAGTACCGAGGGCTGGCTGCTTTCTCATTTTGACACTTCTTACAGTTGAATCTGAGTCATGCTTTAATTGCAATCATCATTTACGGCGTATTAGTTATATATTTGAAATAAAGTTGGGAATCTTAGTTTATTTGTATATTCGCGATTTCAAAAAATAAAAATCAGGGGCATGCCTTTGTTCTTGGTCTTTGGGAACACAGCAAAGATAAAAAGGCAAGGATGGAATGATTTATCAAAGAAATTAGGCATTGATGCTTTTGTTTCGTCCTTTCTTTTAATCTTTATTTTGAATCGGTCACACTCAGATTAATGTTGCCTGAGCCATGGTACGTTATGGTATGTAGTATGAGCATCAGGTCATGTTATACAACTTGCAAGTATGTAGTCCAAAGCACATGATGTGGGACTAAGCACTATGCCTATACGTAGTGCCTGATCCTCATCAGTTACTAATCTCCATCAGTAATCTGCAAATTAAGATGGTTATGATTATTTGAGAAGTTAAGTGCAGTTCTGAATTGAGTTATTTAGTCTAAGATGTGGTTGTTTTTGGAGGTCATGCTTTAACTTTTGAAATTCCTCACTAGAGTGAAAATTTTGCTGTTTATTGTTTTTTGAGCATGGAATCTCCTAAATGTCCTGTAGGGTTTAGTTGCTATGAAGTTAGTTAGTTTTCCCATTAATATTATTTTCGTAAGCTGGTTGGACATATTAAAGTGCACATGTGGCATTGCCAAAAATAATTGCTAACTTGATACCCGATGCACTTATCCTAACCCCTTTCAACAGGTTTACATTATAGGTGGAGATGGAACCATGCGAGGGGCTGTGAAGATATATAATGAAATTCGACATCGGAAACTGAATGTTGCAGTTGCTGGAATTCCGAAAACAGTGGATAATGATATAGGAATAATAGATAGATCTTTTGGATTCCAAACTGCTGTTGAAATGGCACAGCAAGCAATCAGTGCTGCTCACGTCGAGGCTGTGAGCGCAGTTAATGGCATTGGCCTGGTTAAGCTAATGGGTCGAAATGTCGGGCACATCGCTTTACAGTCAACACTTAGCAGCCGTGATGTTGACTGCTGCTTAATTCCTGAAATAGATTTTTACTTGGAAGGAAAAGGAGGGCTCTTTGAGTTTCTGGACCAACGACTGAAGGATAACGGGCATGCAGTGCTTGTAGTTGCCGAGGGTGCAGGCCAGGATATAATACCGCGAAGCGAAGCACAAAAGGAAGAGAGGGATGAATCCGGAAACTTAGTTTTCTTAGATGTCGGGGCGTGGTTGAAGTCAGAGCTAAAGAACTGGTGGGACAGGGAGCATCCGGGTGAGCTGTTCACAGTGAAGTACATAGATCCTACATACATGATCCGGGCAGTTCCAGCTAATGCTACGGATAATTTATACTGTTCCCTTCTAGCGCACTCGGCTATCCATGGGATTATGGCTGGTTACACCGGATTTGTTGCCGGCCCTATTAATGGGAACTATGCATACATACCACTAGAGGATGTTGCTCAAGCCAAGAACGCAGTGAATACAAAAGATCACAAGTGGTCATGGGTAAGATCTGTGACCAATCAGCCAGATTTTGTGACTTGCTAAACATTCAAAGGCCACGCAAAGGTTCATGTCGTTATGGCCTTATTTGCCTTCTTGTCTTGTGACTCAATTTGAATGTGGTGCAGCTTGTGTGTTTTTATTGGCTTAGTCTTTCTTGGTAGAAAGTGGATGAAGGGGGTGTGCAAATTTGTGCGGTTTTATTCACACTTGTTTTCAAGCATCACATTGGCCGTGTCTTTTAATGTAAAAGCTATGTATTATCTTGTATACGATAACACCTGGTAATATAAGAAGTAATGAATAGTTGAATGCTACAACTATATATTTTAGATCAATGTGCAGGCTTTTTATACTTTTGTATGATTATTGATGATAGTATGCGTTTTAATACAATTATTATCTGTTTAGATTCAATTATCCAAATATTCTCAGGCTTAATTGAAGGATGTTTTTTAAGATAGTTTTTTAATTATGAGAAAAAAAAAAGAGATTTTTCTTCCGTGAGAGACGATGACATAAAAATATTTTTTTTAAATTATACATACCTTTTTAATACTTCAATCCTATTAAAATGGATGAAAAAGATATTGAAGAATTAAGAACAAAGTTGTCTAGAGGTTAGGATGGTCACTACATATGTTTTTTTTTTTTTAAATGATAAGATTGAAAATTCTTTTTGGCAAATGAGCAATATTTTGATTGACTGTGTACAAAAAGAAAATACTTGGAAGAAAAATATCACAAGTACTTTTGCTAATTGAAAGAAAAGAAAATTGTTAATGACTAAATTAGAAGTTTACCTAGTTACCGTAGGCCAAAACTATTCCTTTTATTTAAAATAAATGAATCAATTCAATTAGCTGGAAAAGAAAAGTCACAGCACCAATGTTCCCAAATTAGATAGTCTATGGTAAAAAAAATTTAGACAGTGAATATGATACTCATACCCTAATCAAAACCAAAAAAGTGATGAAGCATTTTCTAGCATAATAAGCTAAAATATAATCACAGTTAAAATAAGAAGGAAATTTTTCTGCAAAAAAATTAGCAGGAAAATAAAATAACATCTTCAAATATAACTCACTGTTAATATATAATGTATTGATGTACTTTTAACTTCAAAAAACAAGTTGACAAATTTAGTGCTTTGTCCCCCAGTTTCTCTTTGTGAAAGAAGATGTCTATGAAATAAGATTTCAATATTCTATGCCATGCGTCCCAATTGATGCTTTGATTCCCTAAAAGAGAGAAAAGTGATAAAGAAAAGATAAGGTTTCTTTGAATGAGGAATCATCAATGCACCATAGGATTTTCTTTATTGGAAGAACAAATTAATTTCCTTTTTATTTTATCTGTGATTTTATCTTTAGCTTGTTGTATATGCTAGAAAATGCTTCATCACTTTTTGGCTGTGATTACGATACGAGTATCATATTCACTATCTAATTTTTTTTTAGCCATAGACTATCTAATTTGGGAACATTGGTGTTGTGATTTTCTTTTTATTATATTATAAATTGACCCTTTTATAAAAAGAAAAAATATTGACTATCCTCTTATGTTATAAAGTCCCTGAAAAAGTCCGTCTCATAAGTCATGACAGTAAAGGTGACTGATCTATCCCATGTGAAAAGAACATATCTCTAAACCTTAATTCTATAGCGCTGGTTAAAAAAAAAAAAAAACATTAATTCTAAAACAGTGCCAAGAAAATTCCCCTTTCATGAGAATTAAACAATAAACAAAAATATAAATATAAATATGTGAAAATAAGTCTAATTTAACATTATTTTTTATTTTGAATAAAAATACGAGAGTCAATTAATTGTTATTCTTTTATTTTAATATTATTTTTATTTAACCATACACAAATAGAATAATATTATCATTTAATTATACTCCCAATTAAGAATATTTTTGAAAAAAATTAATTGCATGTTCAAAGATTCAAAATGCTTTATATTTTTTTAACATGATACTTTGAAAAAACTTATAATATTAAATGTAGGCAATATTTTATATTCAAGCAAAAAAAGTTGATGAAAAAATTGTACTAAACAGTAGACATAATAAATTTAAATTTTCCACATAATTTGATATCATACTTTTAGACAAAGTGATTGAAAATAGTATAATTGTGTGTACGATTCACTTCCTTTCATTGTGAAAAACAAAAAATAAATAAGCTTAATTCTACTATCTAATTCACATTCTCATTGTATACCGATTGATCACTAGGGCTTTGTCAAGCTGAATTTATTTCAAAATTTCCAAAAATTAATTTATAATATAATAATAATCTCAGCTAAAAATCTTATCTAAATGGTTTAATAATCAATAGGAATCTGACAAATGTGCTTACATAATTAAAGGACGAAAGGACTTATAAGATATAGATTCAATGCCTTTGTGAAGAGATAGGCTTAAAGAAGAATATGGTAATGCAGGTTCCTAGCATGACACTTTAAGGGACTTAGCTTTGCTCCGCTTGGCAAACGTGCCTCCACAGCTCTGCTGGATCGTTTATATAAACGTGCATGGTCCAAATTTAATATTTTAATTTTATATTTATTAAAATAAAAAATTCATAAAAAAATTTAATAAATCTAATCACCAATTTGAACAATATTTTTAATAAAAATGACCCAAATTTTATGTTAAAGTTTTTATAATTTTTATAAACTAACTATCTAAATATATTTTGTGCAGTGTAGATTTAATATTAAAATTTTTATAAATTTTTAATTTTAAATTCAAACCATCCATATTAAATCCAAATTATCCAACCTGGTGATTAAATTTATTAATTTTTTTATAAATTTGGATAATTCATATTAAACATGAACTGTTCAGATTGATTGTTAGATTTATTGAAAAATTTTATAAACATGGACTATTTCTATTAAACCTAAAATGTTTAAACTGGTGATCAAATTTATTAATTTTTTTTATAAAATATTTATTTTAATAAATATAAAATAAAAATAAAAATATTAAATTTGGATTATTCACATTTATATGGACGGTCCAAATTTTTTTCAAAATTCAGCGGAGCTGCAAAGGCGTGTTTGTTCAGCAGAGCAAAGCCAAGACCCACTTTAAGGGGGGAAATATCAAGGATAAGGAGGGTATTAATTACGTGGATTATGTAATTAATTAATAATTATTTAATCTTTCTTATTTCTAGTCCTTTCAAAGTCTAAAGCATAAATACTATACCCCTTATATTATAGAGAAATTTAATTTAATTTGTTATCTTAGTGCCTGATTCGGATGCCCATGAACTTTTATCGAAGGGCGAAAAAAGGCAAGTTCAGTGAATGACACACCGTCATAAGCTAGGGATAAGATTAAGATAATTTTCTAATTAATTCTCAATTTTAATAGACAAAAGTGTAATCCCTTCTAAAAAGTCATCATTTTATTAAGCCAAGAATAACATTGTATAGTATACGGCAAAAATTTACATAGTTGTAAAAAAAGAAAAATTATTCATTTGCTCTCTAGAATTTTAACCTAATTATAACTTAATTAATGAACTTTAACTTGTTATAATTTGATCTTTATAATTTTAATTTGGTTGTAACATAACTCAGTTCATAAATTTTACTTATTATAATATAAATTTTATAGTTTTAACTATTTAAATATACATAAAAGTGTTATAAGAGTTGTGATGTAGCTCATTTTTAAGACTTACATATATAGGAAGTGGCATTATATGTAAGATATAAGTAGTTTTTTTTTTTTGGCTAGATTTATTTCAAAGATGGATCCAACAGAATGATTTAATTTATCACAATATAATGAATTAAGATTTAAATTCTCATCAAAATAAGTGTTCATATTTTGTGCATGATCGTGTTTCGAACATTATTGTCTCTAACAAAAAAACATATATACACAAGTAAACAAATTTGTAGTAATATATTCCTTTCAGTCCTATTTATAAAATATTTTTTAGAAATAATTCTTGGTGAACAATATAGGATACTTTATAATAATTAAATTACTTTTTTTAATTTTACCTTTTCTTGATTAACGTGAAGATATTTAATGTAATTGTATCATTATTTAAAATTAAGAGTAAAGATAAAAATACATACTCCCTTCGTCCCAAATTATAAGATATTTTTAGATAAAATCTTACGTATTAATAAAGTTCATTAAATATACTTTACAACCTTACTTTTTCAAGACCAAAATATAAACTTTTAAAAATACAATTCATTTAATACTCTATTGATAAAATAATATTGAAGAGAGAAAATATTTGAAAAGAGTAATATTAAAAAACTATCATTAATGAAATATTATTTTTATCCAAATGCTTTATATTTTCAGAAGTTAAATTTTTTTAAAAAAATATTTTATAATTTAAGATAGGAGGAGTGTAATTTTTTTAAAATATATAAAATAGTTAAAAATATTTTATAATAAAAATCAGAAAAAGTATATGAATAAGTAATTAGTTCATGTGAAATATTTTTTCCAAAAAAATGATATGAAGGATTGAGATACAAGTTGATAATAATGGACTAATTGATGAATAATAAATGTCAGAAAAGTGAAGAGGAATCCACTAATCCTTAAGCAGGCGTGAATCTGAAGTCAATCGTTCCAGTTGTTTGAGGAGACTTGTTGCTTCGTCCGTCGTTTCGTCTCTTTCTGCCTGCCTTGCCTCCCCTAAACGACAAATAGTTTCATCCACCTCATTTACCTCCCTTCTCTTTTATATCCTTAAATTATTCTTCAAATTTGCCGCCACCTTAGCAGGTGGAAGATAATGATAGGTTGAATGTAAAGAAAATATCATGGATTCATGATCATTAGCAGTTCCGGAAACAAAAATATCAACTACTAGCTCTGGTTTAAAATATATTCCATTGATTTAATATTGTGAGGTATTTTTAATTAAATTATATTATAATATTAATTAATTATTTTTAAAATTATATATTCTTTTATATTTATTCTAATTTAATAGAGTGATTCAGATAAACAAATTTTATGAATTAAACCCTTTAATTTAGGTATTTTTGAAAAAAATTTATTAATTGCAACTTAAAAAACTCAAAATAACTTATATATTTTTTAATATGATACTTAAAAAAAAACCTTATAATATTAAAGGGATGGAGTAATTCCAATTTTCTCAACCCTATATAGTTTAGGGAGAATCGCATCTAAGGTTTCCAAGATGAAAAAAATTACACCTGGTACCTAATACATTTTAAATTGTATTTGTAGAGCCAAAGATCTCAAATGCAAATATATTTCTTCCTGAAAAGATGTATTTATCTTTAATTATCCAGACTTTGTATAATAAATGGACATTGTGCTGTTTACATATGGACGTTATCATGTTCTTTATGAATATTGTGATGTATATATACATAAAAACCTTGTACATTATTAACTTAATCACTAGAATTATGTATAATAAATGAATATTATATTATTCTTGTACAGACTATGTCATGTTCTTTACAAACATTGTGTTGTACATATACATGAGAAACTTTTACATTATTATTCAACTTAATTATATGAACTATATATAATAAACAAGCTTTATGTTATACTTATGTTATACTATGCCTGAGAAACTTATATTGGCAAATGCCTTTTTTCATAAAGAATTATATTTGTATTTGGAGCTTTTGGGTCTGCAGAAATAATTCAAAATCTATTGAAGCTTAGGTGTGATTTTCTTAAAAAAAAAAAATTCTAAGAGCCTTAGTTGTGATTTTTCCTATAATTTAAGAAATGAAGCTAATTTTTCCGTTGTATCCCAAAAAAAAAAATGAAATGAAGCTAAAAGAAATTATCTCATTTAACTTGGCACAAAGTTAAAACACTTCCTGAAATTACTCTTACTGAATTTTCAAGAAGCTTCCTACATTCTAAAAGAATTGATATATCATATTTAATTCTATAAGAGGTAAATTGGAAAAGAATAATTTATTACCCTATATATTATTAAATGTGATTTATATTTTGGGTTTAAAATAATTGAGAAAAAATGAGTTGTATTTTGGATAAAAAAAAAATCTATGAACAACCCTTGTTTCAACTTCCAAGTCAACAAATGATATTTATTTTTTGACGAATAATTGTTGTATTTACTTCTTTCAAACTCAAAATATATACTTCCTTCATTTTTATTGTTAAAGAAACTATTACTTTTAATTTATATTTTTTTATTAATAAAATTACACATTTCAATAAATATTTATTATACATTTTTTAAATCAACCTTCATAATTTTTATTAATGAGTAACAATTAATGCATGATTATGTTGATTGACACATGACATTTTAGCCCACTTTTTTTATTTTTATATATAATTATTATAGTTAATTAACTCTCTTAAACTATATAATAGTCCCTCTATCAAAAAATATAAGGCATTTTTAACTGAATCTCACCACTAATAAAAGTAATTACCTACTTTCAAACTAACTCTATCTTTTCATACTCACACCTATTAAACACCCTATAATAAATATAAAGTCACACGTCAATAGGGGCATTTTTTTTAAAAAATAATAATTATACCTAAAAAAACTAAAAATGCCTTACATTTTGAAACATTTAACTCCTCAAAAAATGACTTATATTTTTTAATATAGGGAGTATTTTTTTTTCTCTTATATATAGAAACGGAGGGAGTAAATCACATTTTAAATTTTTTTCCCTCTAATGAATCAATTATGGTTTTTCTATCTTGTCTTTGGTTGTAATTAAAAAGTGAGGTGAGTTATTAAGCCAATAATTCATGTGGGAAACATGCAGATTTCTAAAAATTTAATGTGTTTAATATGAGCATATATGGGTGACTGAGAAGTATAGTAATTTTTTTAGTTAGCCAACTTTTAACCCTAACGTGTCTTGGAGCAACACGCATATTGCATAATTAAATATCTTCTAGATATTCATAATGTAAACGTCTCTTTGTACCATAGATAGGTTACACTGGCGTTCATGATCTTTTAGACCCATTAAATCACATGAAAATGACCCTATTTTGATGGCCACCATCCATCTTATTCCTTTTAAAACAACAACACTTCAGTCAACACCATTATCCTCAGTATAATTAGGACTCCGAATATAATATCTTCTTATAATTCACTTTTGAATGTGACATATTTTTTTATTAATTTTAATCAAACGTCTTATAATTCAAGAAAGAAGGACATATAAATCTCAAGGGATCAATTAATTCAAATTAATTAGTCCAAAGTGTTAAAGTCTAGGAATTGGCAATTTAAGTTCTTAATTTTATAATTTTATTATGATAAATTTATAACTTATTTTTTAAATTTTAACATGGTTGAAAAATAAATAAATTTATTTTTTCTATTAAAATTTTAAATACAAGTTGTAAATTTATTACAATAAAGTTACTTACAAAATTCAGAGTCGAACTTGCAAATTCTTAAAGTTTGATACTTTCAAACTCAATTTGAATTAACTAATCTTTTTGAAACCTATCTATTATTCTCCCATAATTTAATCATGATTAATTAGTCTTCTCATATTTTAAAATAATTATCAATTATTGATGTTATCACTAAATTAGCTAGTATAATACTTTTGAGGCTAAATATTCAGACCAAATAATTTCTTTTTTGTTGTTCATAGGTGTCCTATTGAAGATAATTTGCTTGAGGCATAGTTAGACACTAAATACAAGCAATTGAAGATACTTGATTCAACTGGTAAATTTTTGAAATATGTAATCACGTTAGATAAAGATTTCGAAAGCATATCCAAGGTACCTATGTGGCTGGCCATTGATAGTGACATCCCCACAGGGTTTAAGTTAGTTTAAGAAGTTAATGATAATACTTCAAGTTTTCTAGAACACTAGGTAATATAATCAAAAAAATATATTAAACGTAGGCATCTCATGTAGGAGAAGTTCAAATCTTGTTCACCGCGTTATGAAAGTCTAATCCTTTCCACTCCTATCAGTTACAAACCAATTCAAATAACTAAATATTAATATAAAGGAAATTTTTTTTACATAATAAAAATGGTGAACATTAATTAGTATTCACAACTCGCTCCATTCTTATTATACGAAACTTATTAAAAAAAATTGGTCAAACCCATACCGACATCACAAAGAATTGTATGGATATCAACACTTTGAGGAAAATGTCTAGAGCAGCATGCATGACACCGACATAAAGGAAAGAAAAGAAAGCAGCACATATCCGAGCGACTCATTGTAACATTTTATATAGTGTGACATGGGCATTTTGGTCATTTCAACCGCTCACGCCCAATAATATTTCCTCGAGCTCCAGCATGCTCTCTTCGCCAGCTTCATCTCTGCAAACGCATAACGCTCTTCATTTCTTCTTCGTTAGAGAATTCTCACCAAGTTAACATCAATAACCTCCGTTAATTTCTCCTTCTCCATCGCAAATTCTCTAATCAGTTCCTAACTTGGTTGGTTTTTGAACCAATAGGAGCAGAATGCTGGAGCCTAGATTGGCGACTACCATTTTTCTTTGGTTACTTGCTTGGAGGTCGGCTCCGATGGTGGAAACGGCGATAGGGGTGAACTGGGGAACGGTGTCGTTTCGAAAACTGAGGCCTTTGACAGTGGTGGATCTCTTGAGGGACAACAATATCCCCAAGGTGAAGCTGTTCGAGGCGGAGGCCGATGTTCTCACGGCTCTGAAAGGAAGTGGGATTCAGGTGATGGTTGGGATCCCCAACGAGATGTTGTCTCTCTTGAGCTCGTCCCCTTCTGCTGCTGATTTGTGGGTTCGTCAGAATGTTTCTTCTTACATGGGCAAAGGTGGTGTTTCTATCAGGTTGGTCTCTTCTTTCTTTATATGTGTACTCTTGCTTATCTGCTTCTTCTTCTTCGTCCTTTTTCTTTCTTTCAAGATGTTAAAGGAATTTTTTTATTTAGGAGCCTACAATTGTTATCTAGGAAACATGGGCATGTGAAGCTTCGCGTTGTGTTTAACACCTGGTAGAAGTTGTGTAAGAATGTGTAGGATTTTGTTTGAAGTGATGATAACTCACGATTTTACCTTTAGCATAAACATGGACGAAAGTTTTGCGTGAAATACATTTCAAAAGAATCTTTTTCCCTTTTTTTCTCCCATTCAGGATGCAGATTTTTTGCGGTGATCTTTACAGGCTATCTTTTTTACTTTTACGATGATGATCACGATTCTGTTTTGCTCTAGAGTGGTTGTCATACGTGAAAACAAGTTCCTTGAAAGTTGTGATCCTTCGGAGCTTCAGAGCTCAACTGTTTAAAAGCAGCAAAAATCTGTGATATTCATCGGAGTTTTTTTTTTTTTTTTTTTGTTTTTAAATGATTTGAGGCAGGACAGGACGAGTATTTATTTTTCTTTTGAGTATCCGAGGACAACTCTTTCCGTAAAAGAATTAGTAATCAAAGGCTAAACTAAACTCAATCAAATAGGCAATAATATCGTGTTCTATTGCAAATTAAATATATAAAACTGTTGATTCTGAATGGCTATCTTTTATATCCACAATATGAAATTCTAACGGAAAATTATAAATATATTTACTATTTATTGAATAATATCAAGTTCTGTTCTAGAGCTGCTAGCCCCAATCAAGGATGCAAACCAGAGAATGAAGTTGCTTGGTGTTGTTGTTATTAATTGATTGGATAATTTGCCAGCTTAATAAATGTATTTCTTGTTGCAAGAATGAATTTAGATATTTACTTTTTCCAAAGCATTCTATCATGCTTGGTTCAACTTCTAGTCAAGCTTGTATTCTTTCACTTGTTTCCAATACTAGAGATAGACTTCCTATGTATGGAAAAGAGAACTTATGAGCCTGTTTGAAAACTTGTTTTGAGAACAGTTTTCTGTTCTCCAAAACAAGAGGATAAAAAAATATATTTGATAACGTATTTTCAAAAAGTGTTTTAGAAAATAAAAAAATAAAATATTGTTTTGGAGAATATAAAAATGAAAACAATTTTTAGGTGTTCCATGATTAACAAGGGAGAATGAAAAAAAACAACTATTTTCATTATTTTTTTTATTCTCAAAACATGTTCTACAAAACACTAATTTTTAGAACAATAAAATAAAAATAGTTTCAAACAGCTCCTATTTTTCTTTGTCTTATTATTATTTAAGTTGATTTACAGTGATCAGTGATGACACAACCAATTCTATGATGCATAACATAAATAGCTTGACATCTGAAACCAGGCAAATAAGGGTGAGTGTGTGTGTGTGTGTCCCTATAAATGGCTTCTGATTTCCTTTAAAGTCAGGTGCTGTAATTTTGATTTCCTGCAAGCCTTCTAACCAACAAATTCTGATGACAGGTACATTGCTGTTGGAAATGAACCATTCCTGACTAGTTACAATGGTCAATTTCAGAACTTAGTCGTGCCTGCTTTAATCAATCTGCAACAGTCTCTACTCAAAGAAAATCTTGCTGGTTATGTAAAACTTGTGGTCCCTTGCAATGCCGATGCCTACGAGTCCACACTTCCTTCACAAGGCGCATTTCGTCCTGAACTGACCCAAATCATGACTCAGCTTCTTCAGTTTCTCAACTCTAATGGCTCCCCATTTGTAGTTAACATCTACCCTTTTCTAAGCCTTTATGACAGTGAAGATTTTCCCCAAGACTATGCATTTTTTGAAGGAACTAGTCATCCTGTCACTGATGGTGCCAATGTTTACACCAACGCATTTGATGGAAACTATGACACTTTAGTGGCAGCCTTGACTAAACTTGGTTATGGTCAGATGCCTATAGTCATTGGTGAAATTGGTTGGCCCTCAGATGGAGCCATTGTGGCAAATATCTCAGCTGCAAGATTATTCAACCAAGGCCTCATAAACCACATTTTAGGTAACAAAGGTACACCCCTGAGGCCTAATGCCCCTCCAGTGGATGTTTATATCTTCAGCTTGCTTGATGAAGGAGCGAAAAGCACAGTTCCGGGAAACTTCGAAAGACACTGGGGAATATTCTCTTTTGATGGGAAGGCTAAGTATCCATTAAACCTAGGCCTTGGAAACAAAGAACTGAAGAATGCTAAAAATGTTCAGTATCTTCCATTTAGGTGGTGTGTGGCAGGTCCTTCTACTGACTTGACCAATGTGGCCAACCATATGAGACTTGCCTGTAGTGTCGCAGATTGCACAACGCTTGACTATGGAGGTTCATGTAATGGAATTGGGGCTAAAGGTAACGTTTCATACGCTTTTAATAGTTACTATCAGCTGCAAATGCAAGATTCAAGAAGCTGCAATTTTGATGGCCTAGGAATGGTAACTTCCCTGGACCCTTCAGTTGGTGGTTGCAAATTTCTTGTGGGTGTTACTGATAGAGTGTCCAATTCATCTTGCTCTCATACAACATATGAATTGTGGGTTGTAGGATTAGTTTTCATTTTACAAGGTATTTTATACCATTTCAATGTGATTTAGAAGGTTTCATAGGTGGGCCTTGCGTCTTTTAATTCTCATGGTGCTTCTTCTCCTGAAACTGTTAGAACTAGGATAGCTCAGAACTGAGATAGTAGAAAGATGATATTAGGAATATTCAATGGCATTCTTGGTTATTGTAGGCTGGCATACAGGATTCAATCATTGTATCATACAAGGGATGGTATATAACAGTTAGTTATTGAAGAATACTCATAATTTATGGCTGTTCTGATGTCTTCTATTGTATTATTACTTCAATGAATTATGGTTTTCTTGTCTGCCTTGGTTGGAAGGAGATGAAGCTGGTCAAATAATTGTTAGAAGTTTCAGATTGGGGGAATGACAAATGAGGATGATATAAGAATGACAATGACAATTTAAGATTGTGTTATTAAAATTTCAATTAAGAATCATCATTATTCTTAATTGTAATTAAAAAAATTTCTTTCATGGAAAATGGCCTCCGGAGATGAGATTGTGGTGGCCATTTGATTGCTGGAGTCTGGTAGCTGATCACTGGAAAGCCGGCACATAGATTTACAAAAATATCATAAAATCTAGAATTATTAAATAATAATTATTTTATTATTGTAAACCAAACAATAATTTTTGCTCTTCCTAAAATCTATACAAAAGATCACTTATTTTTTTAGCTTAAAAATGATCATAATATGAAAAAAAAATTCTGATTTTTTTTTATACGGATATCTCATTAAATTATGTTTGATTATTGCTAGGTTCAATTCAGAGTGGATCAATCAACTTCTTCTTTTGCATTAACACATATTCAAATTCAAAACATGGTCTCCCATTCCATTAGGATAGGTACTATTTGGTTATATTTGATTATTTCAGGAAATTACTTTTGAGTAACTTTTAAAAATAATTTGATAAGATATACCATGGAATTATAAAGTAATTAAACAATAAATTATTTATAAATAGTGATGTAGAAATATTTCACAGTTTAAAACTCACTAAATAATAATAAATTTTTGGATAAATTATACTTTTAATCTTTTAATTTTATATAAAGTTTTGATCTGATCTCTTAACTTTATAAATTATTTTTTCAATCGTCTAACCATAACATTGTTAATTTCAAATAATTTTTTGTGTGTAAATCATTGTTATTTAAAAAAAATTAATAGGTTTACGTGTGAGAAATTTTGTTAATATTTAAAAGTTTAATGTAAATTTTTTGGTGATGAAACTATTGTTGTTAAGTTTAAAGGATTGAAAAGATACTTATAAAATTAAAGGATCAAAATAAAATATTGTATAAAATTCAAAGATTAAAGATACATTTTAGCCTAACCTTTTTTGGGTAAATTAAATATTTTGAGATATCTTGACACATTTATTTAATGCAATTGTACATCCTAAAACTTAAACTCAAAATCTTGAATAAATTGATTCAACTCCCTCATCCATTTAAACTAAATGCCCCTCAATTATTAACTTTTTATTTTTATAAAATTGCTATAAAATAAATCATTTTTCACAAAATCTTTAAACCATTTAAAAATATTTTTTTAAAAAATTTAAACAAATAACCTTTTAAATTTAACTTATAGATAAGTCCAAGTTCTTGTTATTAAGCTTCCTAATACGTTGTTGCTTTCAATAAATTCTGTTTTTGGTCATCCGTATTTATCACATATATTTGTTTGGCACGAAGGGAAGAAACCGACAATTTTCTCGCTTAGGGGATGTTTTGTTGAGTTGACGACAAACCCTTTTTTAAAAAATTAATTATTTAATAATTGAATTTTAATTTAATTATGACTTTGATTTAGTTTTGTCAACGTAAAGTTAAATGACAATTTAACTCCAAAATTATAGGTTAAAAAAGATTTGAAACTCTAACTTGTTTTTTGATATAAGGTTACTTTTCAACTTTACAGTACAATGTCACCTCTATTATTAATAAAATTTAATGTTGACCCTTAATTGATTAGTAATCGACAAACAAAACAAGTTTAAATTTATAAAAAAGGTCCTTTTTCTTGATTTTTTTTAAATAATTTTTTGGACTCTTATTTGTAACTTTTTTAATCCTTTTTTGTTATTGTTGATGTTATTTTTCAATTAACCAACAATCAATATTAATTTTTATTAATGATGAGATAAATACTATTTTCAAAATGAAAGGAAAACATTACATCAAAAATGAGTTTATGATCTTAAACATTCATGAATCTATAATTTAAAGATCAAATTACCCTTGAACCCATTCAGATTTTTGTTTTTTTAACAAAAACTAATATCAATCAAACCAATCCTATTAAATTTAATTTACGGTATTTACGCTTTTGTTGATGTGAAGATATGAACATTTAAAAAGAACAAAAAAGAAATGCACTTGTTTGCAAATATATAGTAATTTTTTATATACTCATCTGATTCTATTTATAAATTACTTTCAACATGTTTTACCAATACTAAAAAAAAACCTTAAAATTAATTAACTCTCTTCAAATTTAATAAGTTTTCAACTTTACCATTATTAAATGTACAAACTTCAATAATACATTTTCTTTCTCTAACATTCAGTGACAGGTAAAAGAGAAAATTTATAATAAAAATATAATGACATAACTTATAAATGAACTAGAGTAATTTAATTAAAAGATTATATATTATCATAACATTTAAATTGTTATCTTTTATTTTTAATTTTCAAATTTTTTAGCTATTTAGGATAAATCTAAACAATATAAATTATTTTATTTTAAATTATTTTCACTTTAAAATTAAATAGTAAAAAATTATAAAATTAAAACCTATACTATTATATATTTAAAAGAATAAGGTTACATATCTAAATAAACCAGCAGCTCATTTATAATAATCTTATTCGGACTAAATCTAAATCGAATTATATTGATAAAATCCTGGTTTGCATAATTTTCATTTTCAAACTTCTTGCATTTGAGTCAGAGAGAAGTCCAAATAGGAAGTATTGTATTCAAGTCTTATAGTCGAAATTAAACATCTTTAAATTTATTTCGGGTTTAAATCAGGCGAACTCTATTTCATTTCAAAATTCTCGATCAGGCAGATAAAAATTTTCAAAAATAAAAAATAAAAAATAAAAAATAAAAAGTTCATGCGGAAACATTAGCCCAGTCAGACAGATAAAACATGTATTACGCTTGATGCTGTGTCTCAGCTAACATGTTCAGGAAGTGCTTTTCATGACACACATGGTTTGACAGAACGCTAATTAACTTCTACATCTCTAAACTGATAAATCTGCAGCATTCAACATGCCACAGAAGTATTCAAAACCTGCATTTATGTACACATAAGCGGGAAAAAACCGATACAGAAGCAAAGAAGCAAAGGAAAGATTCTGAACTGCTGCATAGTAACAGAAAACTGACCTACAAGCAGGCCTTTTATCACGTGGCTTTACTTTGACTTTTTAAGCTTCCCAAGCTCTCTTACCATATCTCTGAGAAGTCCCTCAATCCTGCTCCTCCTCTCCTACAACAGTCAGTAATTAATTGTCACCATTAGATATGTGTGTGTGTATTTAACTAGACACATTTTCCAATACATTTTACAGAATTAGAAGTCACTTGTACAATTACTTGATCATAAATCTAATACTTTATATTGATACTAAGTCAACGGAAATCTATATTGCAGATTAAATCAAAGCAAACACGACTAAAAAGAGGCTTACAAATATATTTAACATTAGACACCGATAGAGCAGAGAAAATGATCAGAAAACAGAGGCAGCCAAACTTGGACAGCAATGAAAATGGGAACAACTGACTGTAGTTAACACTAAAAAGTTATGACAGGGGGGAATGAAGCAGGTCCTTTGACATAGATTCCTCCAGAAGGCATTATGGGATCTGAGGGAGAGCACCTTCCTTAAAAATTTCTTCGGAAAATTTAGCCTTGACAAAATTTGAGGATAGGCCTCACCATACAACAATGAGAATATATTTTATTCCATTAAATAAGATTGACTGTATGAATTGCACGATGTCATCATGCTCTACCAACAACCAATTCTTCAACTATATCATTCATCAATTGAATAACTACCTTTGAGTATCCTTTTTTGTTTTTCTCTACATTTCCTTCATAGAGCTAAAAGGAAAAACAATACGCTCAACTCTTACCCTATGGCATCTCTAATGACTTTCTTTATATATGTTTAAACCATCTTAAATAATTTTCTATCATTTCTCCATATTTGGATCACATGAAAATATCATGAACGTTACCAAAAAGTTAACATAAGCTCAGCTTATCTATCAGCAGCTTCCCATATTTAACATCACAGGATTAGAGACCTAAATAAATCACTGGGGAAATGACAATAAAGTTCCAAAAAAAAAAAATTAATAACATCTAAACCTAAGTCTCTGACAAACAACAACAACAAGCCTTTATCCCACTAGGTGGGGTCGGCTACATGGATTGCAAGACGCCATTGTGCTCTATAAGTCTCTGACAAAATTTTAAAAAAAGTTGCAAAGATTGATTTAAACAATTCCATACTAGAATCTCAATTGTAAACTGATTGTTAAGTTTAGAATTTAAATATCTTATTTACAATTAGACCTCCTGATTTTGCAAATATTTAAATCGATATTTATAATTTATATTTTCAAAACATATATATATATATATATATATAAGGCTTTACTATCATTAATTTCCTCTTTTGAGACTTAATTGTTATTCTTCCTAAATCATTTCTGCACCTGCCAATTTACTCATCCACAAAAGACTTCCTTTGCATGATAAATATTTGTTCAATAATCGTGAAATACCTTCATTATATAGTTAAGAAAACAATTTTCAATAACAACTTTTATATTCGATCCAATAAAAATATAAATGAACGGAACAAAAAAATGCCCACTTTAAATTCATCATGGCTTCGACATTTCATTACCTTTAGTGACGGGATGAGAGCATAAACCTCTTCCGAAGTTTCTGGACACACATTACCAATCACACATAGCTGCAGTTCAAGATTTATTGTCAAGAACCCTACAGAATATGTAAGAACAAGGAAATCTAGGAGGTGAATGATACCTCAGCCTCAGAGACACCAAGATCTGCCAGAGGCCTAATATTTGAGTCAAGATTCAACCAATATATGAACATTATGAAAGAAGAAGAAAGTCACAAACAGCAAAGCAGTCGTGCCATCTATTCATGCAAACACACCTAGGCACACAGAACACAATCCTATTAACATGCCGATCTGAAAAATTAAGGATACTCAAGAATGCTCCTGACAGTCTCCGACATTTTATAATGGCTATTACTTTTGGCATACTGCAGTCCCTTGTCAAATGATCTATCACAGAAGATAAAGACAATTTTCAGATAAAAAGTGCATTTTAAACGACCAAAGCATCCTCTCCAACCTAAATAGAAAATCATTAATGCTCCCTTACACAGGTATTTTAATAGATGGATCTTTAGATAACATGGTCATCTGATCTTGAATTCCTAGTAAAATATCAGCAGCCTCACAATTCATCAGGCATTTGATATTTTTTGGAAGTTCTGCATGTGTCACCAAAGGGATTTAGAACTGTTGACATTAATCAGATGAATATTATCAGCATAAACCTAGAGTCCTAGTAAAAGTTAATATATACAAGAAAATATACGTCAGATGCAATTCTTAGGGCCAGTCATAGCAGTATTTTACATGTCAAAAGTGAATAAGTGTATTTACTGTTTAGATCAACAATCAAGTAAAAGATTTAGGCGATTACCAACCCTGCTCAATCCCAAACTCCGATTGTTTTGAGCTTTTAGACATAGGACTCTTTCCCCCATTTGCAGTCTTCTCTCCCTTTCCTCCTTAAAATGGAAAAACACCATAAATACAGATGTAAAAAACTTAGTACTGGTAGAGTAAACTTCAGTTCAAGCATCTTAAGAAAATCCTATTATTTTCATACTCTAGTGAGGAGCATTATGAAGATAATAGAGTTTTAATGCTACCTTCATCAGCAAACTGAACTCTCCTCCCCTTTGCTGATTTTGCAGCACTGTCATCTTTCCCTTTTAAGGATCCTACCAAGAAAAAGCAGAGAATAAAAAGGCGGACAATTGAGTGTTACATCACAAAATGATTCAACTATTAGCTTGTCCCACCAATTGTTGACAGCAAGATGAAAGAACTCACATCAACAACAATACAGGAATGCTATCACATAGGTCACAGTATATAAGGTGTGAGATTTTGGGATCGGCAACCTAATATAAATCCCACCTTAGATTGTCAAAAAAATACAACCAGCTATGTGCAGCTGGCATTCAGGCAGTCAATGGAACATGGAATTCAATCCTGGCCTTCTGTGCCTTTTAACCTCAATCAGAACTATCCACTTTGAGACAAAAAATCATCGATTTGGGAGAGAGGGAAAAAGCTCATAGATGATACAGGTGCTAATCTTCCTGCTTCTCCTCAGTCTCTATATGTATTGCTTTTACCAATTTCTCTTTGGTTTTCGTTAACTTAGAAACTCTCTATTCTATTGAGCCCAATCAATGGCTATTATCATATAAGCTTCAAAGATTACTCGCTGTTCTCTACTCATTTTCATTTCATTTTCCTGATTTCATACTGAGTTTTTCATTTTTCTGTTATGGATCTATATAGGTTTACGGTTTATGCTTCTCCCATTGATCCATCCAATCGAGAATCTTCTCTTCAATTTTAGAAAGAAAGCCTTTCCGAGATTCCTTAGGTTTTGTGGTACAAGGAAAAGGCAAGAAATCCCTTCCAATTGTTTATTGATTAAATTAAATGCTTCATCCACATGAAACCCTCTATTGATCTTGTGCATTTCTTACTCATTACTCTTGGAGGTTGATTTTTTGGTATTTAGCAATGGTGAAGATGCCAAAGGTCAATTTTTTTTTTCCTGGGAATTCAACCGTTGAAGCTTTCCCATATTAATCTCCCCAAGTGTTATTCTCAATTGCCTACTCATCATTCATGGAGGTTAATTGTACAGCTGATATTCATTCTCACTTATTAAAATGCTGGGTGCGCATTAAAAAAAAGGTGCAGCAGACATTCGGGACGCTTGGCAGCTGGTGGCTCAAGAGACAAAGCTAACCATAGATTTTAAAATGTTCCAATTAAATAGTCCATCCACTGAACGGCAGACGAAGATTGATCCCTTAGGGTTCCAGAGTGCCCTTAAGTAAAGGTAAAAAACTAGCACACTTCGTAGCAAGTTGAGGTCAAAATTCAATTAGAATACCAAAAACAAAAAGATGCGAAGGCCAATTTCCTTTATGGAAGTAGGAAAACAAACCAGCCCACAACCAAATTAAGATTACATATATTTTCCGAGATGATCAATCGGATAGGTGAAAAAAAGGTAAGGAATATAAAAAAAAAAAATCAGCACTTTCACCCCGAGAAAGCATCAATACGAGAAAGATGAACTGACCTCCTTTGTTCAGCGACGAATACCCCTTTCCTCCTTTCTCCATCAATAGTAAAACTTGATTTAACCTACAAAATTACGGGAAGAGCAATGTAGGTGGACACAATCAACCCAATGATCTTAAGGACTAACAGGGTTTTATTTCAAAGTTGTGAAATTCTTTTCACATTTTGAACTTTGAAAGAAAGAAAGAACTCTTCTTTCACACGTGTTTACCTTAGTAAGCACAAAATAAGAGATCGATCGTGGAAGAATAAAGAAGCAAAGCGAAGCTTACCGAGAGAATCTGGTCACCGGAAGAAGGAGACCGACGAGGGGAGCCAGTTTAAGATGCTTAGACCCCGAACTCGGGACCCGGCCAGAAGTTATAAAGGGAAAAAGGATACAGCCAAGGACCGTTGGAGGAATTTATCTACTGACAAGTGTCAAATGATTCTGAAATAACACTGCAATATTAAAGAATTAAAATATAATTAATTTTTAATATGAAAAGATAAATTATCTTTCAATAGTTTTTTAAAAAAATTTCAGTTATCAGCCTCCGGAGCTCTAATGTCGGTGGCTGGATCACTTTGCCGTACTGATCATCTAAGCTCTAACAGTAATAGTTAAACCACCATCAGAGCTCCAACGCAACGCCAATCACTATACCAATAAAGGATGTGGGTTCAAACTTCAAACTTTACTTTAGCCACCTTAAAAAAAAAAAAAAATTGTCCCCTCATCAATCATCAATGCAGTGATTGGTGTCGGAGCTTTGACTACCATTGTCGGAGCTCAGATGGCCAGTCCAGCCACTAACGTCAAAGTTCTGGCAACCCTGGCTGAGAAGTATTTTTAAAAATAATTGAGGGATAATTTTTTCTTTCCACACTAAAAATTAATTATGTTTTGGTTCTTTGGTACTGCAAACGTAATTTCAAAATCATTTGATACTTGTCGGTAAATATTCCTCCAACAATCTTTGACTGTAATTTTTCCAAACAAATAAAGAAAGAAAGAAAATGAAATAATTAAATTATGATGTTAAATAATTTCTGTTTTTTTTTTAATACAAGGGTCACAATGAAATTGTATCAAAAACAAATAAATAATAAAAAGATAAAAGCATAAAGTTACACTAATAAACTAAGCAAATTTGTACGTAAATGAAATATAAATTTCAAGCAGCCCGTGTCCTTGTCAAATCAATTAAGAAAAGTTAATACAAAAATATTTCCAATTGAACATTACCAGCTTAAAAAAAAAAAAAAAAAACTAGCCCAACCAACCTCAAAAATTCATTCTTGTCGCTTTGGGGAAATACAAGGAGCGCAGATATTTGTTTTCCAAATGCATACTTTCATTTAACTTGACATGAGTTTATTGGGAAATTATCAAAGAAAAAAAGATCCAACCAAATTTTATTGGGAGAATGACAAAGAGGTTTTAAAAAGATTAATTAAGTTAAGTTAGGTTCAAAGTGCTACATTTTAAAAATTTTACAATTCAATATCTGAATTTTGCAACTCTATTGTTATGAATTTGCAACTTGTATTATGAATTTTAACTAAAAAATATTTTTTTATTTTTCAACCATGTTAAAATTTGAAAAACAAGTTGCAAATTTATCACAATACAATTATAAAATTGAGAGATTGAGTTGCAGATTTTAGAGTTTGGCACTTGACACTTAAATTATTGGTTCTTTTGGGACTTCTTTGTCATTCTCCCAATTTCATTTACTAAGAGAATTTGGGGGAGATTTAATATTGAGGTCCTTCTTTGAGATGCTGAATCTTTTCTTAAAGTATTTTATAATTTGGGACAGAAGGGGTATTATTTTTTTTATTTGTTCCTTTTACCTCTGTGCAATTGAACTATTCATCTTATAAATGAAAATAATCAAAATGTTTTCAAAAAGGTTTTATCATGCTAATGTCAATGGTGATCCCTTGCCTTCCTCCACCTAATGGTTCTGTTTGGCATGCAGCATTGGAGAGATGGGATTGGGATTGGGTTTGAGTAATCCCACCTTTAACATGTTTGGTATGAGTCACTCACTAATCCTTGGGATTATTTAGTCCCACTTAGGTGGGAATACTCAAACCCACCATTCCCCCTGGTATTGCAAATTAATCTTGGGATTGAAATTATTATTGACCAAAATGCCCTCCTCCAATATATCCAGATTTGACCCCTCTTGTTCTTTGTGGAATTTTCCGTAGACACTTTCAATGTGGATGATTTTGGCGACGAGTTCCTCTCACCGTTGACAACTTCCTCTCGCTGTAGATGACTTCCTCTCTTTGTCGGCAACCCAAAGCAAAGAACATAAGCATGAACAAAAGCAACGACGATGGGCAAGCAAGATTCATTTTCTTGTTTCAGATTGGGTGATGTGTGAGATCGATATGTTCAGATCTGATAATGGGTGAGCAAGAACAGAAGCAACGATAATGAAAGGTTGCGATGAGATCGTCTTCTTCCTCCCTTAACTGTGCAGATGTATACATTTTCAGACCTGATTTGGTGTTAGACTTGCGTTTGAGATTGTGTTCTTACTCCTTTCTCACTTACTGCCCTCTCCTCCAGCTCCCCTGCATCCATCGTCGGAAGCTCTAAATCTAAAGTTTAGAGCTCCAGATCCGCCTATCCTCCCTAAGCTGTGCATTATTCATCTTGATGACTGTATACTTTTTTTATTAATAATAAGGGGCATTATGGTATTTTGTTTATTTCTGATGAATTAGAAAAAAAAATTAATGTAAGTATTCCCTTCAAATATTACTTCATACTAAACATATTTTTAAAGTCCTAATCCCAACTCCAATCTCAATTTCAGTCCTAACTCCAATCCCAATCCTAATACCTCAAAATTCATATCTTTATACCAAATAAGGCCAATGTAACATCAATATCAATAAGGGAGAATTATATCCAACTCTTTCATAAAGAAATTAATTACTATAAGATCTATTGATAATTGAATTAAGGTCATTAACAATATAATCAATTGTTAATAGGCCTTGTAGTAATTAATTTTTTATATGAGACTTCAATATAATTCTCCTTATCAATAATAGGCAATATGTAGTGACACATGAGCATGAGATAAGCTAGTAAAGATGCATTTTTTGAAGAATTTAGAATCATCAAAATATGAGGAGTTTTTGTCTTGAATGCTCAAAATGATACGCCAATTTCACTAGAGGTGTTACTACTCCCAATTTCAAATTTGATTGAGTTTAGCTAACTAGAACTTTTTTATCCTTAACTTTAGATTGCTTTAGCTTTATGTTAAGGCTGCTTGTCCTTGAGGATTTTGTTTGCTTGAGCCTATATAAAGGCATGTTATCTATTATAAGATGTTACATTTTTACCTTTTTATAGTCATGTACTTTTGAGTTGTGGAGTGGCTTGGTAAGATAATCATATATATTGAGAAAAGACAAGGGTTGTTCACTAGTTACTCTTATTTGTTTGCATATTCATGATAGCTTCCATGTGACAAGGCTTGGACAAGATGGAAGCATTATAGATTTGGGAGAATCAGGAGGCAAGGATGGCGATAAAAGTGTTGGAGAGCATAATGGTTGATCTTCTTGGAATATGGAGAAAATATCAAATAAAGGCTAACTAATAGGATAGGGTCATAGTGATGGTGAAAAAAATGGATTGGCTTATGAAGGAAACTCAAACACTAATTGGGGTGCTTCAAAGTTCGGAAGCAGCAAAGTCAAAAATGTAAAAATCTCTTTTGCTCAGGATGGTTGTTAAAAAACTAAATCTAATAATAACAATAACTTTGAAAGAAATTTAGATTCCATATAGAGCTTTCGAAAAACCATGTTGATAGGTTTTTTTTTGTTGTTGTGTTATTTGTTGATTGGAATGCAAATTGACTTGTTTAATTGTATAAAAGAGACCATTTGTACATTGCAATTGTAGTGGGATTGTGTCCGTAGACTATAGGTTTGAATTGTAACTATTGCTTGTTAAAACGGTTCCTATTAATTGTAATTTTTCTTTTAATGAAATGAAGTCCAATTCAATTTTCATTTATTTGTTGGATTGAAAAGATTTCATTTCACAACTTGGATTTCAAGATATGTATTGGAAATGTAAAAATTTTAGAATATCTATTTGTTTTCATAAAATGAAAAAAAAATCAAAATATTTATTTGTATTTTTAAAAAATATATATGTGTTTTTTTTAAAAAAATAATTTTTTAAAAATATTCATTTTTATTTTTAGAATATCCATATATGTTTTCATTAAAAATGAGAAAAAATTTAGAAAATCCATTTATGTTTTTAGGATATCCAGATATGTTTTCATAAAAAAATGAGAATATTTAGAATATCCATTTGTGTTTTCAAAATATTCATATATGTTTTTATAAAAAAAATTTTAAAATATCTATTTATATTTTCAAAATATCTTTTGATGTTTTCATGAAAAAAGGAATAATTTTTCAGAATATGCAAAATGCATATTCAAATGTAAGGTGCATTTTGTGAAAATTTATGTCACTAAATCTCATTTATTTGAATATGGTTTATGCATATCTTGAAAATTAAAATTTGGGTGCATAGCTTGAACATTGGATGCAAGGATACTCTCTATATGCAGGCCTCTTCCACTATATGCATGATTTCTTCAAATAAATGCAACTTATGTTTCATATATTTAATATTTGATATCTTGAAAAATTTACACTTAGGTACTTCGTTTGGGCATTGAATGCAAGAATGCTCCCTATAAATAGGCCATGTTCCACTTTATGCATGATTTCTTCAAATAAATGCAACTTATGTTTCATATATTTGAATATGCATGTATAATATTATGAAAATTTACATTGAGGTGCTTGGCTTAAACATTAGGTGCAATAATACTCCCTATATGTAGGCTCTCTCCAATATATGCATGACCTCTTCAAATAAATGCAACTAATGTTTTTTTATATTCAAATATTCATATATGATACCCTGAAAATGTACACTTAGATGTTTGGCTTCAACATTGGATGCAACAATATTCCCTATATGGAGGCTTTCTTCCATTATATGCATGACATCTTCAAATAAATGTAACTAATGTTCCTTATATTCAAATATACATATTTGATATCTGAAAATTTATACTAATTTTCAATGTAAAAATTTAACACTAATTGTAATGGCATATTCAAATATATAGAAGGTAAATTGCATATCCTTAAACAGTATTTACATATCATGGAAGTTTTTGTTTTTATAAGGACTTTACTTGACATATTGACATTAAAAAATTTTATTTGACATATTGACATTAAAATTATTGACATCAAGGGACCTTTTGACATGTTAATGACAATAGACCTTGTGCCATATATCAACGATGAAAGACCTTGCTCAATTTTTTTTTTTTTTTGAAAGGATAATTGATCATTTGAAGTTCTAAATTAATGCTAATGAAAGACCTCAAATCAACATCTCTCCCTAATCCTTGTGAGCAAACATATTTGTGGTAGAGTCTTTTTATCAATTTTCCCAATTTGAGTCACTTAATTTTACAAATTATTTTTTTCCAGCTTTCTAATTTTAAAATTATATTCTTTATTACTTAACAAAATACTTACATTAAACTTTTAAACTTTAACAAAATATTTTCAAATATTAATATGTTGAAATTAATTTTTTAAAATAACAATGATTGACAAAAAATCATCATATAAGACTAATTACAAGACTAAAGATATTTTATAAAATTAAGTTTAGAAGCTAAAATTTTATATTAAGTTAGAAAATTGAATATACACTTTTCAATAACAACAATTAAACTAAACTGTTCAAATTAAAATACCAAAAACACACACCGCTATGGATAGGAAAAAGATTCAAGTTTGTAGAGAGAGAGAGATAGAGAGAGAGAGAGAGAGAGAATCTCCAGCATTTCAACAATTGTATTTTTGGCCAACAATCAAGCATGTCCAAAATTGCACTAATGTTCAGCATTGAATTTAACGGGTGTTTAAATATTGAGTTCTTGCTCACCGGAGATTAGTCTGTTAAGTTAGATTTTAGCTGCGAAGAGAAATCTGTGTATGCTGTGTTCTTGGCTTCTATAAGCTATTCTTCTGATAAAGCTTTTTTTTACTTTTGAACATCCACTCCCTCACAACTACGAGGTGGAAGATCAACAACTTTTAATTCAGACAGCTTCTCTATTCCAACAATTTCAACATATAATTACAACAAAACATACACCAACGATATTTTGATCCCCAAAACTTGGAAAACGACATCTTAACCACAAGGAAAAAATGATAGACATGTTATTTTTCAGGGGAAATGAGGCTGGTTTTCATCATCTTCATCTCCTTCTTACGGTTTTTTCCCCTCCCTAATTTGCAGCAGCAGCCATTTCCAGATCTGGGCATATCCAAATCTCCCCAAATCTCCATGGCGTGAATGGTGAAACACCTCAACATACTATTTTAGTCCCCCTTTTTATTTCCAATGAAGCAAATAAATAAATAAACAAACTCATTTGTACAATAGAGAAACCTCATCTATCCAAAAAATAGAAGATGAAGTTCGACTCAATGAAAATATAAACAAAAGCCATATCCATCCACCCTATCACCAATACCTCAACCTCGTTCCTTCATTTGTGACACATCATTACCAGGTAAGGCTGCTGAAACTCACATGGATGATGTATTTATTTGACTCAAGTATCATCAACCTGTGAGTGAAAAACAAAACTCGGAAATGTGGTCGTGATGTCTCTGCCAAGTGAATTAAAAGTCAGGTGTTAGAAGCTAAGGACTAGACGACAAAAATACTAGTTAACTGAGAAATTTTAGCCACATATAAACTGGTCTCTGGATGTGCTAAGAAGTAAGAACCGATAAATATTTAAAATAAGTGACCAATGTGCATAGTTTAGTGAGGATCTATCCGATCTTTGCATCAGTTGATTGTGCAAAAAGTGCCCATAAGAACTTCTCCTAACCATCAGAGGTTTGTGCCATTGAGATGCAGACATGCATGTAGAAGCCATCTAGGGCAAAACCAAACCAAATCTTCATTTCTCGCATGGCTACACCACAAGTGCTTTACTAAAGGCCTCCGGAACAATGATAAGGTGTTACATATCTTATTCTGTCATATGAAATTACACTCATTATATAAATATATAAAACATGAATGGCCCAAAAAGCTCAAATACATAGTTCCAATCTAGCTTGTGTGCGAAGTTATATTTTATGCTTTTTTAAAAAGAATTACAAGATAAATTTCTCTCACTCTTCATTAGCTTGGGTGCAAAGTTATATTTTATGCTTTCTTAAAAAGAATTACAAGATAAATTTCTCTCAATCTTCATAAGCATTTCCTTTTTGAAAAACAAGTAGGCACTAAGCTGCCATTTTTTTAACACAGGTTTTAAATATATTATGGATCGCACACGTAATGCAAATGCTTCATAGGGATTTCGCTCCTCTTGTACAACATGATTGTCATGTGAGAAAAAAGATAGACTACTCATGACAATTAATTACAACGGGAAACAACTTGGGTTTCTATCTCTATTCTCACATTACCATCGCTTTCTTATGAGATGATCCTAATTCACTTCCCAAGACTTCCACCACTGGGGCCAGAATTCAAAAATTCAAATTACTGTAACAAAAAGAAACTCACTTGAGATACTGAAGAGTCATATTCTTCAAAAGGGATGGATGACGCAAGACAAGATTTCGCCATTCTTCCTTGTCAATTTTCCCATCATGTTTTGTATCAGCTTCCTCAAATGTCTAAATAGCTTAAAAACTGTTAGTGATAAGAGAATATTACAATGACACGTATGATTTTCTAGAGCATGTTCATTAAAAAACACGCTCGTTAAGTTAGCAAACATGACTAATGAAGTTCACAAACATAAAGCTGTACAAGGTTCACTTTCTTTAGTAAATTTCTTGTAAGAAAGTACAAACTTTAGTTCAATTTATGAGGATAAAGTCACATGGAGAATACATAACAGTCCCATCAAAGATGGATTAGCATGTGATGCAATGAGAAACAGATGCATATAAAAAACAGAACATAAACTAATGGAAAAAAATTACTGCCAGCTATAAAAACAGTTGGGTGAACAAATAACCCATACCACTCACTTCCAAAGAATTCATGCACCATTATACATGGCTTTATAAGATTGCTTGTACTTTGAAAGACTATCATGAAGCATGAAAAATATCGTAAAATAATTTCTCCCAAATAGTGTAAAATGCAGATCAAATTCAGAATTTTTGTCCCATTCATTTCTCCATCGTCCAACCTTTGGGATCAGGTCTTATGCATTACCAAGAGAGTTGGGCGTGTCTTGGTACTTTGGATCAGTTCATCCCAATTCAATTTAAGGGCTAAGGGAAAGACACAAAGAAAACAAAACTTTGTGGCAACGCGCATTTTAAGTTTTTTCACAGCTTTCTGTAGTTGGTGAGTTGTAGCCAATATCTTCAAGAGAAACTTTTTGCCTTCATTATATTGTCGAATAGAAGTGTATTTTTAGGCTTTATCTTAGCTTTAGTGTTTAATGCATAGTCTTGTTTAAGGGAAAAACCATTTCTAACATGCAAAGAGATTGTAAATCTTCTCCACAACAATTACTTTCCTTTTATTCTGGTTCAACGATTTCTTATCCTCCAACAATCCATACTTTCTTCTTCTCTTAATACATTTCCTCTTCCATAAAAAAAAAAAAGAAAAAGAAAATTCATCTGGAACAAACATGAAACCTAACTTAAACAAAGAAGCAGACCTCATTGAAAGCTTTTAAATATACTTATAACTAATGAGCACAATGTTTGGTAAGCAAATTCAGCCCATCAAGTAAAGGATGCACCTTGTCGATGATACTTTCAATCACGTCATCAGAAAGATTCATGCCAGATTCAGCTAGGGTGGCCACTACCATTTGTTTCACCTATCACATTACAGGTATAAGCATTGTCCATAAATGCATCTTGCAAACATTTTGAAAGAGACATGTTCTGAGAAAACAAATTAGTTCAAACTGATTGACATTCCCATGTATCGTGGAGTAAGGTTCCCATGTATAATTTAAACCCATAATACAGAATAATATTCCAGCATGGTCTCTGATGAATCCACAGCTGTTTAGTTGTTTCCAATAATCCCTGGGCAGTAGAGGCTGGTTATGCAACAGTCTCAAATTTTTTTAGGTATGTAACGGTGGTTATGTAACCGATAAGTCAATTTTTGGGTACTTTGGCAGCAGAGCCAAGAGGTAGCTGTCTAGGCAGTTTTAAGGTGAAGAGAGAGGAAAGGGATTGAAAAATATTGTGGAGAGTGTCTGGAAATTTCCCTGTGTCTCAAATAACAAGGGGAACTCATTGTGATGTGAACCTGTCTACTTGTGAGTGCTTTTTCAGCATATTTCACTCATATTCCCAATTCAGTATTCATTTTCTGCCTTTTCTCTTTGACCAGTTCCTGGCTCCATATTCTGGTTTCCATCATTTTAGTATCATATTAATGATGGTTCAGGGCTACACTGAACACGAGGGAGACTGGAGAGTATATTTCAAAGGATATTTCTGTAGAAAGTGAGGTAGAAATAGTGAGAGAAGAAATTATGATCAAGTTCACCCATCTTGATCTGTGATGGTAAGAAAATTTGAATCATACCACTGAAATTCTCAAGAACTCAATTGTGCAATTAACTGCCACAAATATGAAGAATTTAAAAGGAAAAATTGGAGTGAAAGGTAGTGGTGAAGATTCTGAATGCTATGGACTGGGATTTTTGTGGAAAGTAGAGCAAAGTCCTAATGTAACAAAGCCACCAATACAACCCCTAATTCTCACCATGAGGGCAAGGTAAAGCTTTGAGGATTGTGTATTAATGACATCCCTATTTCCTTAATCATGCCTTGACAACAAGGTATGTTTTGGAGGGGTGTGTACAATCGATCCACAATTATGTAACTGTTTTAGGCAGGCCTTAAACAGATGAAGGTGATAATGCAACTGGATAAGCAGATTTTAGGCAGCTGCGGGCAGATAAATAACCATGCGGGTAGTTTTGGGGACTGTTAGTTTTGGCAACACACTTGTGTGGTAACAGTCTAGGTAGTTCTGGGTAATTGAGGTTTAGAAGGGTGAAGAGAGATGAGAGAGGTGTAATAAATGTTTTGGAATATTTAGAAGATTCCTTTTGTTGAATTACTAAGGCAATTCATCGTGTTAAATTAATCTACAAAGTGTTTTTCTCTGCATTATTTATTCAACCTCGTAAGAGAGAAATTACCTCCTGCCTTTCAATAAAGCCTTGCTGCTTGAGATCATACAGCTGGAATGAAACTGCAGGGAAGGAAATTTGGGAATCCCCAACATGAGGCATAAACAGAAAACTATAGAAGCAATAGACCATATATACTCTACCTCCCTCCCTAATATTTAGAAGGCTTTAGTCTCTCTTACACTCAATCTTATCATCAATAGGTGCATTGGGATGAAAGACAGAAAGAGCACGAGCAAACTCTTCAAAACCAAGTATTCCATTATGCTTTGTGTCGAACAAGTCAAATACCTACAGAATTTTCACAGCACAAAATCTTGAGCACAACATACATTTCTAAGGGTTCATATATGCACAAGATATGCAATAGGAAAGGACTTCAAATCAACGAATCATAACTGTAACTCAATGAAGAAAACCACCCAGATGACAAATTCCCCTCCCCTTCCCCCTTCCCCTCCAAAAAAGCTAACAGAAAGGATAGCATATACCAAAATTTAATAGATCATCCAGAAACATAATACATTGTAGGGTTGGAGACGCTACAATGTGTAAGGTACAAAAGGGTTGGAAACGAATTTTACTCCCGTAGCTGAAAATCTTATCTAATAAATTGTAAAAGTTGGATCATTATATAAACGAATCAAAAATTTCAAGTTCTATTTCTGTGAGGATAAGTTAAAAACAGTTGTAAAAAAATTTCAAGATCTTAAAGCTAGACATACCCTATCTGCAAATAAGCTCTCTTTCTTGTTTGTCTTGAATAATGCCAACTGAAATTCTTCCTGCAAATCAAATGCATAAAAAATCAAAAGAAACAAAAGAAAAAGGTTCAGAATCACAAGCTAGCCAAGCAATGTATAATACCACATATACCTATAAAACGAGATGCTTAGGATTATAAAGATGGGGTAGAAATGAAGGAATCAGTCAGAAAGTTTAAACATCAAAATTATCACAAAACAAACTAATGGAACAGCAAAATATATAACGGAACATACTTTATTTATCAGCCCATCATCAATCACTGCACTGCTAATCTTCTTGAACAGTTCATACAGTGCCTCAATCTCACTTACACTAACTGCATCGAAAACCAAACAGATGAATATCACTGCTACCAGGGCGACAAAAGAAACATAGTATCTAGAAGATATATCTTTCTTTATCTTAACTCTGTCCACTAATGTAGCAACAAATGGTCAAGGCAGTTCATTATCAAGGACCCTGAGCACTTTTAGAGTCAATTATCAGTGACTAAATCAGTAGCCTCCAAATAATTGACATAATTAAACGGACTGGAAGGATACTATAGTGTACCACCCTCACTCTTCAAGTGAATGCAGAGACAAATCTACTATGATATGATTGATGTACAAAGGAGGAGGGAGAAAACAGAGAGAAGTTGAGAGAGGAAGAAATACTGTAACACCCAATAATCACGTCCTTCTACTGAGAGCATTCCATTTTCCATCAGACACTCAACAAGAACCTCACTAACTAATGAATGGATAAAGGTTATACAGATTCATCCATGTATAATTGTTACTGAACTAATCAAGTGCCTTCAAAAGACCAACAACAATTATTATTTTAACCTGTGAGTTTCAGAACAGTGCCCATGATGGATCCACTATCCCTCTGGTGCCTCACATAATACCATAAAAGTGCCTCAAAGTAGCACCACCACACCAGATGAGAACAGAATGCTTCGTGAAGCACCATTCAGACATATAATGCTTCACGAAGCACCACAGAACAATTTTATTTTTTTTAAAATTACAAGGGTACTATTGAGTGAGATAATGTCTACCGTGAATCATACAATTAGTTTAAATTAACAAAAAGGAATTTTGTATTCTGTAAGCATTCTAAAAACTTCTGTTTCCATTTTTTCTGCTAATGTAGGAATTGCTGGGCTAAATTTTTCTTCGCTGAAGTTCCATGGAGTTCTCAGGTATTGCAGCTTTTCTTCGGTTATTCTTTTTATTTCTAACATTAAACCCCTGCAGAGGCCGAAAAAGGGAAAATGAAAAGCCTATCTCATTCGCTTCACCAAGGAATGGATGATACGCAACAAGTTGTGCAGAATAAGGGGAAAATAGTTAGTAGCAGTAGAGTTTGATTGAAGAAAGAAATGATTACGCATAAAATTCACCTATAGGCCAATGACAAAGGAAAACACCTAAAAATGTTAACCCAAAACTTCTGTAAAGACACATACAGACTGTCTCCCTTGCAAGAGCTTCTGGATCTTCTAAACCCGTAGTTTGCTTAGACACATCACTATTGCAACAATTTATTGCAGCAACAAATAGCTGCTTTAATCCTTCTAAGAACTGCAACATTTTTGTCTCCAGATGTCAAAACACTCCATACCTGAAAGTGAGGAAAAATACCTTTTAACTAAATGTATAATTTTGAAGAAAACAAAAGCCTGATCTCATTAATTGATTAAAAATAACTGTGTCTTCGTTAACACCATCCAAGCATGCAGATCAAATAAAAAACTTTTCACAATTCTTGCAAATTCATAATCAATATCTCACTGGGATTTACATGCTGATCCTTCCATGGGTGCAAAGTGACGAGGGTAAAAGATAAAAAGTAGAGGAGTAGAGAGCTCAACATGATTGATCAAAAATACTCATGGAAATTCTTCTACCGGAAAAAAAAAATCATGGAAATGGAGATGACGGACTGAATTTCATCAGCAGCCATGGCGATGAAAACTTCTGTTTCCATTAAAAACAAAAAATCCGCATATATGGGCAGGAATATCATCTAAAAGAACATCCGAAAATTCCATCTACCAATCAACTAGGTTATAAAGTCGGTTAACAGTTAGAAGATAAAAACACGCAAAATATATTAGCAACGTCATTGCCTACAAAACCAGACAATTGAAAATCACAATTCAAGCTAGCAGAGCACAATTCAGATAGTGGCTAACACTTACACATCAACGATAAGATCTTACCTCGATATTCAATAGTCAACAGAAAAAAAAGACAGCAATATTGCAACACTAGGCTTGGCCCTGAATCGAACCTTAATCCTAGATGTCGAACCACAAACCATAAAGCTTTGGCAAATTCAAATAGATTCATCTTCATCGATTATCGATTAAACAAAGCGCACAATCCACATCAGTAATAAAATGCTAGATTAATTAATTACCATCGAAAAAGACAAGAAAAACTCGCAGAAGATTCAGATAACAAGCTGAATGAGTAGGTAAAAAGGAGGAGCGGGATTTACCTTTCAGAAAAAGCAGAGAATGGAAAGCAAAGAGGAGTCAAAACTCTCGGACATATTTGTCTCACTGTCTTTCTCAGGAAGGACGAGAACCAAAAAAATGGTGCTCTTGATTGGATATTGTATATTTATATATATATATATATAGGGAAAATGGTGGTGCTTCGTCCAATGTCTACATCAGCAGATGAGTGATTGCAAAATGAAGCTTCTAATCAAAAGACAAAAGGCCATATTTTGTGAATCAGTACTCTGGTAAGGAAGACAGAGAAGAAGGCATATAAATGGACGCCATTTTTTATCTCAGAAGAGAAGAGGAGATAATTTTGGGAAAGAAAAAAGAAAATGCAAAATGACACTGAATTTACTGATTCATCTCACTGACATGTGGCTCGTAACTGGTGGCTTCAAATTTGAGATGGAGTGAAGCTTCTGCATTTCTTAGAAAAAATCGACCAAAATTGGAAATTTTGCGTGTGAGGATCTACATTTCAATAATTCAATGCACTCTTGTGTGTGTGTAGTTTATCGAACCACCAACAAATAACAAATTACATATGTTGACTTTGGGAAAATTATTGTTTAATAAATTTAAAATAGAAATGGACTAGTTATTAAATTATAAGATGAAATGCTCTTTAAATTTAAATTTAAAGGTATGTTTTAATTTAATGAGTCTTGAGTTTCAATTCGTCTAAATTTTCTTTATCCAAAAAAAAATTATAGGATTAAATATTTATTTACAAGTTACAATCATTACTTTTTTTGAATTTTGATATGATGAATGATTTAAATTTAATTATTTAATAAATGTCTCAATAATAATTGTTGAATTTTATCATTACTTAAAAATTATTAAAATATATTTTTTAAAATTTTAAAATAATCCTTATGATTAAAAAAATCTTCACATATGTTATCCCCTCAAAAAATTTAAAATTTGGTAAGTTTTAGTATTATATGACAAATTTTTTAACAATCATTCAATTCAATTTAACGTGTACATGAAATATTGATTAAATGAGTAAATTTAAATAACTTGCCAATCAAATCCTACATTTCTACTTCTTTGTGCTCTTTTTTAATTAAAAAGATATCTATGTATCTCGTTCTAATACTTTGTCCAAGCCACACTTCTCTTTGAAGAAATATTTTAGATTCAAATTAATTACGCTTTTTAATAAATAAACGTATAAATTTAATTATAAATTATTTTTTAAAAAGTATCTTACATCCTGGATTACAAAATGATATAAAATAAAGTGTAAACTATTAAAAACGAAGCATGCGGGTCCCTCACCTCACCTGCAGTAAACGGACATTTTATTATCTATGTGGGGCCCACTAACTTTTGACAGCACTCTCTTCCACTGAAATGATGACTCCCCCAATCACTCACAATCTCCCGCTTCGAATTCCAGACGCAGATTCTACACAAGAATATTGGGTGTTTGGATAGCAAAAATAATTAATTTTTGGTTAAAAAATTGATTCTTTACAAAATTATTTAAACACTCATTTTTTAATTAATCGATTTTTGAGTTAAAAATTAATTATTTTTAAAAAGTTGAGAATTTGAGCTTGTGAGGAGAAGCTTGTTAAGAAATATTAAGAAAAACTATAAAGACAAATTTTAAAAAAAATTATAAAAAAGCACATGATTTAAAAAGAATTAAAATTAAATTCTCTTCTTCTTTAATAAATTTAAATTTTATATCTTCAAAAAATTAATATTTAACATTTAAAAATTAAATTATGTAATAAGTTATATAGTTAAAATTGATTTTAATTAAATTATTTAAATATTTTTAATTTTATTAAAATTAATTTTAAAAAAATAATATTTAAATAAATTACGTTGTAATACGATGAATATGATTAAAATTTATTATTTAATTAATTATTTTATATAATTTATTAAATTTAAACGGTCATTTATATCACATCCCTTATTTTCACCGCCGCCTCCTCTGTTTCCTTTCCATTCTGGCTTTCCTTGTCAAGACTCCAACATCCAGTTGTTTGTTCGATATCTTTATCCAAAAATCTAGTCCTTTTTTCTAGATTATCCCAACCCATTAACTAGACAAGAGAAAAGGGAAATTGTGGTTTAGATTTGGACGATAATGAGGGAGGAGGACTTGAATTGGTTCTCGAGATGGGAAGAGGAACTCATGCCTCTCTCCCGAACCCTAATCTCGCCTGATCTTGCCATGGCTTTCAACATCCGAAACTGGCCCCCACAATAATAGCCCTCACTATCTTCGAATCCCTTGCCTTCTCCCAGAAGTGTTTTAGGAAGGAACCGGAGAGGCCTAATTCTCCATGCAATGTGCCCAATAGAATGCTGAGGTCACCCTCGTCGAGTCATAGATTTGACGGAGGCAGTAATCTCTGAAAGCGAATGATGAGTCCGAAGGCTAATTGCAAAGCACACTCAGTATTTCTCCTCGTCAATGCGAAAGGAGAATAGGAGAGCAGTGAGTTCAAAGCAAAGTATATATAAGTTTTGGTTTTCTGGTTTGTATTGAATCGAATTCTTTTGTTCCCCCCCCCCCCCCCCTTGCTCTTTCTTCAGTTTTTGTTCTGTGAAGCAAATCTCAAGCAGTCTCTTCATTTCCGTAGTCAATACAAAGCGATTTTGGAGTTTCGTTGATTCAGTTGACTCGAAGTGAAATGCTCTCTGCAATTTGGCTGCTAATTCTGGTTTTGTTGAGATTGGATATCATGCAAACTGGTAAAGATGTAGATCTTTTATGTTTATGCTTATGCACCTTCAACTTGCTGGTTTTGCGCTATGCTTAAGTGTTGTGCTTCAATTTGCTGTCGTCATCTTCTTCCCAATTCGGCAAGGCCTACACCTTAGAATTTTTTTTAGAGAGAGGGGGGAATCACAGGTGACGAAGAAGAAATAGAGGAACAAATTTGAGGAGACATGTGACTTGGTAACTTTTTTTTAATCAAATAATTGGTCAAATAAATAATTCATGACTGAATTTATATGTTTACCCTTTTTAATTCACACACACATGCGCACTATTTGTTTTAGAAATAAAGATTAATTAAGTGTGACATGAATTCATAAAATAAATAGGGGAAGTTTTGAAATCTCTTAAAAAAATTTACACATTTAATAAGTTTAACCTACTTTAACAAATTTTCTTAATCTTGACCAAATGATTTAAAAAAAACAAGTATTGATGGAAAAGACTAGAGAAAGTATGTTTTAAAGGGTTAAATTACATACAACTTCTTTAAACTTTAAATCATGGACAAAGAATTCTTAAAAACTTTTAAAACTTAATAATAAATCTCCTTGAAGTTTTAAGTTTATGCAAATAGCCCTTAGTTATTAATTATATTTTTTTTAAACTTCATTTTGTAAGCATGTAAGCTCCAAACTTTAATTGATATAAAAATAATCCTTATAAATTTTAAATTATGTATAGATAATTAATATATAAAATTAATCATATAGAATTATCTCATAAATATAGGAGTTGATGGGGGTTTCTTGTAAAGTTTAAAAAGTTAAAGAGATTATATATATACTTCAATGTGGAGGAAAATAATGTATAATTTAGTCATTTTTAAATTTAGAGTAAAATATTGTGACCTATTTTTTCTTTTGCTAAAATTACATGAACCTTTCATCTAGTTTCAAAAGCATACACATTTGTCCAATTTTTAACACGGTCGGGAATATTTTGTTAAATATTCTATGAAACTTAACCTTTTTATTTGTAATTATATTGAAAATTTTAAAATTATTAATTTCCCTCATTATATAATTTCTATTCTCTATTTTTCAATTTTAAAAACTTTAAAAAATTAAGTATGTGAATATTTGCATAAATAATTTAAATTTTTTTGTTAAAATTAAAGAATATTTAAAAATAAACATAAATTATTATATTAAATCGTTATTTTATTTCAGGCCCAAATATTCTTATTTCCTTAAGTTTTTGTAAATTGCATGTTTGAACTATTATTTTGTCCATTTTAAGTATTTAATGTTTTTCAAAAATATTAGATAAATACATTTAAAAAATGAAAATTTTTAAAATATAAATGAAAAATACAAACATATTCATTAATTTTTTTTGTAATTTGAATGATTTTTAGATAATAATTATATTTAGAAAGAGGATATCAACATATATAACTTACTCCCTTCGTTCAAATATAAAATATTTGTGAGAAGTTAGATATTCAAAAATGTAAGGTATTTTTAGTTTTTTGAGGTGTAATCATTATTTTTTTTTAAAGTACTCCTATTGATGAATGACTTTATATTTATTATAGGTGTTTAATAAGTGTAAATATGAAAAGATAGAGTTAGTTAAAAAATAGGTACCTATTTTATTGAGAGTGAGATTCGGTTAAAAATACCTTGAATTTTTTAATAGAAGGAGTAATTGTTAATTAATGGTTGGATGAATAAAAATAAAATCTTAAAAATAAAAGAGATGTTTGTATTTTATAACTATTTATATTAAAAAAGGTTTGTATAGGTTCAGAAATAGAAAAAAGGTATTTGTAATTAAGATAAAAAAGAAAAAGAAGAGAAGGCTAGCGTATTTTACTCTGAAATTAAAATGTACTCCCTGCTCTCTAATTATAAGACACGACTATCTAATTGTCAAATATTAAGAAATTAGTTTATGTCTAAAAATTCGTTCCTTCTTTCTTGTTTTACTATTAATTAAATGTCATTATTTTCTTTGATTAAGCATGTTGTCCAGCTCATTTTATTTATTGCTTAGGGGTATTTAAAAAAAATAGTTACTTGTAGAAAGTTCCTTATGAAAGGGAACACCAAAAAAAAAATTATTCACAAGTTTTTTTTTTTTGTAATTAGAATCAATCATGTTTAAGGTATAATTAGACATTAAATGTTAATACATTTTTTTTAAAAATTCAAACATTAATTTATCATATTATGACTTGTGAATTACAAACCTTTTCCACTAAACCCAACCCCATTCGTACACAATGCCTCTTAAAAGTGTGTCTTATAATTAGAAAAGATAGAGTATAGAATTGCTCTAGATTTAAAAGAATTCTGAACTCTATAACAAAGTCCTTGAGCGAATTACTACTGCATAAGAATAATTGTGTATGATTGTCAATTTTATTTTATTCAAAAAATGTAACATGTCAAGAAAATAGAAGTTACATCTGAACTAGAGTTTGGAAGTTCATTTATAAGGTTTATTGAAATATTTTTTTAAATTAAAAAAAATACTACTTTTGAAGTAGCATAGATAAATAGGAATATATGACATACTTTTTACTTTTTAGATTTAAAAATGGAATTAGAATGAAGAGAAGATAGCTAGAATGGGAATAATGCTTCTCTTGTTTGGTGTGAACGAATCTAGATAAGAAAAATAGTAGGAAAAAAATATTCAAAATTAAAAAGTTGAAACTGACAACACTCTTGAGCAAACTACAGATTAATAGTTGAATTTCAAGAATACTATAAACAAAAACATTAACAGCAGTAAAATGATATACATATCTTTTGCTATCCTGATTAACTGGTCTAGGTTTTATTTTTCTCATATTTGTGTATCCAGTTGATTTGTCATTTAGTTCATCCAAGGAAAGGAAATTCACAGAGAACATCACAAGAAAAGGTATTGTTCAATCTAAGTGAGTAGGAATCTTTGGTAAAATAGTAAATGAGTTAATTATGAATTACTTTTTTAAAAAAGACAATGTTCAATAGAACAAATGTAAGCTCAACCCGCCAAAAGAAGAAAGTCAAGTTGGTAAAAAAATATAGCTTGTTTAGATCCAAGACTATTTTATCCCACACTGCACAATTCAAACCCACGGCAGGCTAACATGTAGGTTGGTTTGTGGGTTAACCTGCATATATATTTTTTTTTTTCCATTTTCATACTCATTGATAAGTAAACACTATAGCTAATAAGCTTGCATGTTAGGCATTGACAACCAATGGCTTAGGGATTCCAATGTTTACTTGATCTCCTCCCTATAGTATCATACATGTGCTACAAGTGGTCGAGAATCTGTTATTTTACAGGGTAGTTTAATCATGTTTCTTCATATTCTATCAAAAAACAATTCTTCTTTTATGATTTAATATTTTATAAAATTATTATTATTATTTATATTAAAATATATAAATAAATTTAAACCATTAAAATTCAATCTATTTAATTTAATTAAAACTATAAACGGTTTTAAAATATTTTATAAAATGATTTTATTTTGTCAAATTTTCATCATAGTTTTAAATTGTTAAGGTAAAATTTTAACACTTTAAGCCTATTTATACATTTTATGTAAAATAATAGTAAAAATTTTATAAAATATTAAATCAAAAAGTCATTGAAAATTTTGATGTAAAAATAATAAAATAAAAATAAAAATAAAAATTTTTATTTACATATTATTTGTTCCATGATTATAAAGATGTGGGATCCTCATCATCTTCGGCTACTAATAGTAGCCAGTATTAAAAAAGAATGTACATCAAGTTTCAATATTTCTACATCATTGTTGTAGTCATCATTTTAAGTTTTAGATTGTAATTTAAACTTTTTATTATGTTTGTTTGTTTTAAATTTGTATTGTGGTTTTTTAATTATTTAAAAATAGTTATATTATTTTCTGGATAATTAGTTTCACAATGGATTGGCAGAAATATAATTTGTCATAATGCGAGTTATACTAAACTGCATCATTAAGCCCGCAACCTATATTACTAGTTTTAATGTTTATCGAAGTGAGTAGCAATCTTTGAGAAAATAGTAAATGAATTAATTTTGATATATTTTTTTTTATTTTTTGGTTTATACTTAAAGATGGTGGGGTTAGCTGATATTCCTTCCAAAGTCACTATCCCTGCATATTGCTGCCAACCACAAAAAAGAAATACATTCAAAGAGTGAGGTATCTTCAAATGTGTGTGGAGAGAAAAATAATAAACTGAAAGCCTCTCATATCAGAGCCAGGTTTTGATCCTAATACCTGTGGGTTATGGGCCCACCACGCTTTCCCTGCGCCACTCTGATTTGTTGAAATGCTTTGATAATGAAATATATAAATTGTTTTGTTGCTAGTTGTTTCCTTACTATGCTGCCCATGGTTAGGCCTCTTATCTAGTGGTTAAATATCATGCGTTCTAAAAACAAAAAATGGAATGGAAACAGAAACGTGTTTTCATTCCCTGATTTTTAAAAACAAGAAATAAGAACAATTTTAACATAAAACACTATTTAGATCAGTTTTTATTTTTAAAATTTAAAAAATAAACTTACCCCAATTTGGTAAGGAAAAAAAGGTCTCACGGTTAAGCAACTATTTGCCCCTTTTTTATGATATTTTTTCATAATTTATTATTGTTTTGGTAAAACAAAAATGGAAAATCTAATAATATATAGTCAGCCCTATCTACCATCTCATATGATCTTTTTTACCATGTCCAAAAAAATATTACAAGAAAATTAATCAATTAATCCTCATAATTTGCATCATTTTTCAATTGGTTTTTACGTAGTTTTAAAGTTTCAAAACGATCCTTATATACTATGCTATTTATCAGTTACCATTATGACTTTGTAGCTTTGGAAACAAAACTTTTCCCACATTATTTTGAATAAATCTAGATTTTGACCAAAGTCAATGTGAAACTAAACACACTCTAGTCTGCTATGTGGTGGCGGCAAAATTAATCTTAATTTATTATCACTACAATAAAATGTAGTATTTCCAACTTAAAAATATTGATGGGCATAACTTAAAATCAAAAGTAATACTCCCTTCGTTTAAAAATATAAAATATTTTGAAATGAATCACACCCCCCAATAAAGTAGTTACCTACTTTTAAATTAATCCTATCTTTTTATATTTACTCTTATTAAATATCTTATAATAAATATAAAGTCATTATTAATAGGAACACTTTAAAAAAAGTAATAATTATATCTCGAAAGATTAAAAATAAAAACATTTTTGAACATCCACCTCCTCAAAAAATACTTTATATTTTTAAATAAAGGTAGTAAAATTTTTAACAAATAATTATGAGTGTCAAAACATTGTGTCAAGATTAAAGTCACATTTTCAACACTGTTGGGAGAGGGCTTTTTCAACAACTATCTAATATGATAATAAATTAGTTTCTAAGTTTTCATCCAAGAAAACAAAAAGCTTACCGAGTTGATGAAGCACATCAAGGGGTTAACTGAGCTGCTCCCGTGGGTAAAAATGCTGACATGGAGGATAAATCACCATGTATTGGGTGCCACATCAGCATCCCATAAAAAGCATATAATTCCTCCTATTACAATTTACTGACATTTGCTAGATACTTGTTTGCTTTAATTATATCCTTATTTCATTTATTATTATTTTTAAGAGGAATAATGTATTACAATTTCAATTATTATTATTAAGGCATTTATATAAATAAAGATATAATTGAAAAAAATGTAAAATGTGTTAATAGATTAATATTTCATTTAACTTTTTTAAAATCATGAAATAGTTATTAATATCCAATACTGTGATCCAAAGGAAATATTACATATATATATATATAAAATTATATATATATATATATAATCTCCTTAATCTTTCTTCTTCTTCTTGCATTATCCCTCTCTGTATATTTACGTACTTATATTTTCTCATCAACTAGTCACAATGGAAACAAGAAAAAATGACAGTAATAGAGCAGCTTTGTAAAACTATCCCATGCCATTCACCTTCTAAACACTCTGAAAAAAATTTACAGTAAGTTCAAAAAAAAAATCATTACACGGGTTTCATTTAAAAAAATCAACCGTCTAGATTAAATAAACGATGAAGATTTATTTGAAATGAGTATATACTTATGCTTAAGCTTGAAAAAATCTCGACCTGTTTCTTGACATGATCATGTCTGACTAAGAATCTTTAAAAAAACAAAAACAAAAAAACAAAGCTTGAATACCTTATCATCATCAACTATAAGTATACCCCATCAATAATCAATGAACTTCAATCTACCTTTTTTTATGGGCATAATCAGTGTCACTTCTTGCTCTTCTCATGATCTTCCTAGGATCCAAACCCAACCTGCATCCTCCTGTTCCCATATCAGAACCAATCTCCTCAGCCTCCCCTCCTCTCACGATCATCTTTCTCTCAAATTCCATAGCCAATCTGTGTTTATTACTCTCAGGAACAATATTGGTGGTTCTGGGTCTGTGTTTGGCTTCTGATCCAGAAGGCTCAAGTGGACTTTTCAAGACCTTATAAGTGGCAGTACTGTTACTGTGACTGTGACTGCTGGTGGCAGCATTATAATTATTATGATGACGATGATGATGATTCGGGGATGATTTTTTCTCTTGCTCAAAGTAGAGAAGCTGGACAACAGTTCTTAATGGAAGAAGCTCGTTTTTCACTGCATGAGCACGAGCTTCTGCTGACAGCTTTTCACAGTCCAGAATCCGACATAGCCGCTTCTTGTCTGCCTTGCTCATCTCAGCGTGCTCCTGTGTTCATAAATGCAACCTTGCATATTGTCAAAGGCTCTCCTTCCTAGGTCCTAGGTTTTCATTAATCATCATCATGTACATGCATGTACTATAGTGTCACATTCCCAATCAACATGCTCTTCCAACTTTACTTTTAACTATTTCACTTGATTCATATGAAGTAGTTAAAAATATTTATAATAATAAAGATGAGAGGGAATATCAAGTTACAGGTAATCATATTATTCATGGTTCACATAATGTGATGTATTTTAGATTTATACAAGTACATATATATATAAATCTATTCTATTTTAAGTAGAAACAAAAAGAAAGATGTAAAGAATCTGATAAGAATCATTCATTGTTATTACAACATATCTCAGCTATTTAAATTTAATTTGAATTTGAATATTCTAAATTATGTATGTATGTATATAATTTTAATATTTTCATCTTCAAAAAAAGTATGACAAAAATAAAAACAGTTTTTAACAATACTATTTAAAGAATGATACATAAACATAAAGAATAGTGAAATCTAAACAATTCAAAGTGACAACAGTAACACCTATGTTTCGAGAGAGTCTAATTAGGTTTCATTTGCACCTCACTACCTACAACCGTTGATATTTTGTTCAGTGTGCTGAGAAGTAATTGTTGGAAGTATTTATGTTGCAACATACCTTTAACGTTGCATGCAAGTTAAAATTATATATTATTCCTACATAAGTAATTTAAAAAAAAATACTTATGCAAATCTGAAAATGTGTTCGACAATTTCAAAACGTAATTTGTATAGTTAAGCCCTTGTTTGAACCATCTTGTTAAGAGGAATGGGTAAGCTGAAGCGAGGGTAAAAAGTTTCTTTTTTTGTCAACGAAAAAGAAATTAAAGCTTCTCCAATTGTTTGCACTTTTTCACGCATAAATAAAATACTTATTCAAATAAAAGCAACTCAAAATCGCAATGGGGCCAAACAGGGCATCAAGATCCTCAAAATGTGCTGAAATGTTTTCAGTTTCAAGGGCATCAGCCCTGAATCTATGCAAGGGGTTCTTATAAAAGTTCCAGAAAGTTTTAATTTAAAGTTTCCACTGAAGTTCTATTTTAATCCTGCAAAGATAACTCCAATATCAAGATATTCAGTCCCACTTTTGTACTCAAAAGCTTTATTTTTTTTTCATTTCACTTAAAACAATCTTTATATAGAACAAAATTATGATAAAAGAGTATTGAAGTGATGCAAAATTTTTTTAAGGGGTTATTTTGAAATCCAAGTCCTCCTTAGACCACTAAAATGCAATTAGTCTAAAAATTTACCTTAAGATAGATATTTATTGCATGGTAGAGATCATCATGCTGTAATCTTGCAATGTCCGGAAGAGCTTCAGCAAGAGCCACAAATTTTGACACAGGCAAATTTTCATCCCTTGCAACCACTTGAAGATGCGAATCAATGAGCTTCCCAACACTTCTAATTGATCTTAAGAAGTGGCTGTTATCTGCAGCGTTAGGAGACATTCTTTTCCAAATCTTCAAGTAACTTTCCAGCACAGCTAAAACCAAATCCATTGATGATGCTGAAGCACAAAGCAAGTCATCCACAGATGCTTCATCGAATTGCAGGCTTGCTCTTCTAATCAGTTCTGTCTTGGTGACGTGGGAGACCCCAAAATGGTTCGAAATCTGGAGGAGTCTAAGCAAGAAACCAACTGAAACTGATCCTTTATCTGCAGGAATCATGGTCACAATAGTTTCAAGAATTTTTCTGTTTTTTGCCTTGGATTCTTCTGTTTGAGAAGCTGAGCTGCTTGATGTTCTGAGCTTTGTGGTTCCTGGTAGCCACCGGCTGGCATAGACATGAAGAGCTTCTCCTATGAGCTGAGGCAGGAGAAGATAAGTGGCTCTCAGAGCCATGATTATACATCGAAAAAGGTCTATGTCAAGGTCGGAAACATCCTCAGTCCACCAATCTTTGGGGACAGAATGGTGCTGTTTCTTGGCATAACCAGGCCTGGTGTAAGTGAAGGACCATCTGACCTGCAACAAATCATCATTCTTCAAGAAAAATTCAGGAGGAAAATAGGTTTAAGGAGTATCTCAATTCTTCTTGAGGGTATGATGTTACATAATAATGAGGAAACAATGAAGAGGAGAGAAATTCATAATTCTTCTCGAGGATATGATATCAGTTGAATGCTTTTTCTAACAAAGGAGCTAGCATGAATCTAACTAAATTTCTTTTTGTGAAAACTGTTGTACCAATTGAGCTAGCTCTTTTCATGGAGGTAAGAGAACTTTCTCAATTAATCCAAAGAAGTAACAATTATGGATAAATTTTGTTTACCTGTGGTGGGGGTGTGAGAACTTTCTCAATAATTGAATCGATGCATTTTCTGACTACGCCTAGATTCTCAGCCCACTCTGGTAACTTGAAAGTAGCCTGAAGTGTAACGATGGAGTCTTTCCAGCCTTCAAGAATGCAAGAGTTGAAGAAAGCCTCGAGTTTTCCCACCAAGTTTCCCTTCTCAACCAAGTCATTCATTTGCAGGAACTTAGCAGCACAAAATGCAGGAACGAAGTTAAAAGCACTGATATTGATTGAAATTCCATAGCAATACTTTGCACATAGCTCAAAAGCATCTTCCCCTCCAGGAATATCATGAAGCTTTAGTGAAACATCCCCAGAATCATTAGAACTATTGGAGCAAAGCCTTTGTAGGAAGCCACATTTTGGAAGAAGTAAAGACTGCATCTCACAAAAGAAAAATTCAAATGAACTGAAGAATAAATTGCTTTATTTTTCACATTCCCTTGCTCATTCTAATCATCTAACTCTATATTTGTACCTTGTGCAGAAGATAAGTGATATCATTTACTTGTACTGCAAGGTCTGAGGGTATATCCGAAATCAGAGTCCTGCATTGTGAGAACACTGTTAAAAAACAGGGGCTTTTTACAGCTTTTCAGAAAACAGTTTATTATCAATTTACATACATACCTGGTGGCTTGTTCAGTGTAGAAGGTGTCTGGCCTTGTCCCAAGTTTCATAAACTTCATTGTTCTTTGGTCTGATCTGTATAAACCAATGGTCTGATAAAAGCCTCTACTTCAAAGCCTGCAAGCAAACCAGAATTTCGTATACCTTGTTTGTTGATTTAAGTACTGGTAAGGAAGAAAACCACAGAAGAAGTATCTGAAGCAGAAACGCTGAACAAGTTTCTCAAGAAGTAAAGAAACTGAAAACCAAATCATTCATCTGAAGAACAGGAAGAAGAGAGTTCAGACTTCAGAGTGGACTACGGCAGTAAAAGGAGAATGGAGAAACAAGGAACAATCTGTAAGGCGGCCTTACCTAAATGGCCCCTTCATCTTCTTTTTTCTCGGCATATAACTCTGCAATCCATTCAATTTATATAATTAGTGTCCTCACCTGCAAATTCGAGAAGAAAGGGGGAAAAAAATCAAATTTATGCTGTCATACACCATTAAAGAAGATGGCAGGGAATAACAAACTGTGTTAGAGATTTGGCTAGAAGCCATAGAGCAAATTTTTCTGTACTAATCTTTGCAAGTTACTTCAAACTTCAGAGCTTAATTGAAGACAAGTGGAAGTACCAGGTGAAGTTAATAATTAATAGAAGGAAAGTGCGGCATACCCTCACTGCCTTACATTGGGCTTCAGATTTTTTTGCCTCCTGTGCCAGCTCCTGTCATACGAAACAAGACACTGGAGAAGAACATAAGAATTCTGGAAAACGAAAGAAAATTATCCTACATTGCATGTAATTCAGCTTATATGATGTTGTTCCAAAATTTGAAGAGGCAACGAAAACATTGAAAATGTAAAAATAAAGAAACTAATAATGGACAAAGGCAAAAGATAAGATGATCGACTCTTAATTATTATATATACCATTTCTGTTACATAGTTTGATGGGTGCCCACAATTCATCAGGCTTATACATAAATAAAACCCTGCATTTACGGCTGTGCCGACAGTCTTTTTATTATCCTTCAATATGGTGTGTTTTTTTCCTCTCTACAATTTCTCTAGTTGAACATTTCGGGTAAAGATTAAAGAAATATTCATCCCCGTTTCCTTCTTCCCCATAAACGAAAGAAGCTTCAAAGCAAATGTGCATGCATAGACATATATGATTTACATTATGGTATAGGAAACACTAGCTCTTAAAAAACCGACCACCTTTGTTTTTTACACTCGTATCAAATATGACGTGACACTACCTCAATACTTCTTATTTTGTCGTACGATAGCGTCCATATTGTATTATCCACACTTCTACGTGATGGTTCATGGGAAAGGAATAACTAGTAAAGAATGAACTAACACATGAGACAAAGAAAAGTAACTCAACTTTTATAGTGGCTGACTCTTGAGTCAGAATGGGTATATAAATCCAAAGCAGCTGTATAATAATTGTCTAATACACACCGCAATCTTCTGAGCAGATGCTCACAATTCCATGTAAGGAAAAATACATCATTAGAAAACGATATGGGGAATCCAAAAGAAAGTGATGAAACAAGAAAAATAACTGGTTAACCAAAAGCTTCCTATAAATGAAGGAAAATATTATGAGTCTTTTTTTGGTGAAGTCACTTTCATTGTGTCTCCAAGGACGTGAATGTATAAACTGATGTAATATTTTTCTAATTGAAATTACTTATTGGCTCTCAGTGGTCCAATATTGCAGAAGGTATTGTCTTCTCAATTATGCTGCTCTCCATCAACTATAGGGCAATCCAGAAAGGTGGAAGCCAACTTTTTCTTCTTTCTCCCTTTCTATCTCTTTTATCTTTGCCAGATGTTATTCACAATTTACTGAAAGAACTCAGCATTAGTTCCACAAAAGCAGCCTTTTAGCTGTTAGGCACGTTTTATCTGAGATTTGCTTCAGATTTTGAAACAAAGAGATGAAAAAGAAGAGAAATCAATCCACAATCTTTCTTTGAGGATATTATAAGCAGCAGCAATATAGGCTTTTGCCTCCATGTCGAGATCTGACATTAGAGTGTGGTCTGTGCTTTCATGGACACATGTTTCTACAGTGAAATTCACCCATGGCTTTCCATCAGACGAAGATAAGAAAAGCTCTTCGTTTTTTTTTCTTTTTTTCTCCTTTTTCTTCACAGTAAGACTGCATCAGAGATGCCTCATCGCAAAACCAACTTTTTTCTCAGAGGTAACTCTCACAGATCCCAATTTCATGAACATCATGAAAACTCAGAAAGTGAATGGTTAAAGTCAGCACACATATTGCTTTGCTCTACACAGAATCAATAGTGTGTATCAGTTATTTCCACTATTCAGCCTGTTATGTGGGTACTCTCTTCTGAAATTGATAAAGTTTATCTACCGCCCATCCCCACAAGAAGGTGTTATCATTTTCTTTTTGTCCCTATACTTTTGGAATTTTTTAAACAGAACCTACATTAATGTGTGTTCCTTTTCCACAGATTTATTTATTTTTAATCATCTGACAAAAGGGCCTTCATTTGTATATAATAACAGAATAAAAAAGCAGCTCATGTGCTTTTAATCGGCATGGAAAGTCTATCAGAATGCTTTAAACAAGCTAGTAACGACTGGATTAGGCTTTTCATCAAGCACCTGTAGAGGAATGACTGAAAACTTATGATCAAAAGAGCTAGATAGGAAGAGAGAACATACCGATTAACACAGTGTTGATGCTGCTTGAATCTTGGGAAAGTAGGAAAGCATTCACAGTCGAAAAAGCTGCATAACATGGAGTATTGAATAACTGCGCAAATTAAAGAAAGTGAATATATAAAGCAGAAGCACCAATCTGTGAAGTGAAGCGCATCAAGCATCTATTTGGATGGACGTTCGTGATCATGTGAAGCTGGAAAACAAACACTTTCGCAGATTCATGCAAGAAATCCTCAGAGAATCACACAGACACACACACAGAGGTCTAGAGTGGCTACCTAGCTAGCCTGTGCATGGGTTTGTGTTGGAAATACAGCATGTGAGACACCAACTGCAGAAAAAATGTGTACCACAATGTCTCCTACGAAAGAGTGCAAGGACACACAGAAGAGAATGGAGGGAGGGGAAGAGAGAGAGGGACGGAAGGAGAAGGAGAGAGAAGTAGTGGTTCTATGGGATTAGTCAACGTAGTAAAGCAATCTATGATAAACACATTGAATAGGTAAGGGAAATAGAATGGAAGAGAAAAGAGAGAAACTTAAAAAGCTTGTTTTGATAAAAGTGTATAATTGAGTTTCTTCAGTGTCATGCATGGGTTATCCATAGTTCTCATATATTGTCAAAGCTGATATTATTGTTTCTTAATTAATCGCAGAGGTCCAAAAATGGACACGTGTACTAAAGTAAAAATATTTTAAAATTTTAAGAAGCAAGTTAAAAGAAACAGGAAAATCATAGTTTTTATGTCTTAAGAGTTATGGTCAACTTGAGTTAAGATCTCTTATAGTTTTTTCATTAAAAAAAATAAAAAAATTCAATCTCTAAAGTTGTGATCCGCTTGGTTAAAATATCTATTATTAACCAACATTATTGTTATATCACCAATATATTCTTGCCTCAATAGTAAAACATACCTCCAGATACCTTGACTAAAGTTAATTATAATTTTAAGGGCTGACTCCTTAAATTAAAAATATAGAAATCATGATATGAGATGACCACATACATCTCTAGAAACCAAAAACTATTTTTTTACTTAAAAAATATATAAGTATCAAAGTGCATAACTAAGCTGAATTATGAGGATATTATATTTAAAAATAAAAATTATATATATTTTAATATAGTGTTGATATTGATTGTTTGTTAATATTACCTATCAATTGTACATTTATGTTGCATATTTCCTTCTGAACTTATTACAGAGTGCCTTCGAGAATGATTCTTTGGTCCTTGAATGTAAGGTACTTAATGGATATTAATTATTTTTTTCTAATATTGCACTTATTTAAATCATTAATTTTGAGAGAGAATATAATGTAAATTTAAAAACTGATTCTATTTTTAGATAAAGTTAATAATTTAATCACATCTCTTTAATTGTGATGAGATAATTAAAGATGCCTTATAGTAAAGATTGGAAGGGGTACAATATCAAATTTATAAAAAAATAAAAATATTCATAAGTTATAAAAGAGTTACTACTCATATCAAACTAATTACAAAATATATACTCCCTTCATTTAAAAATATAAAGTATTTTTTGAGAAGTTGGATGTCTAAAACTATAAGGCATTTTTAATATTTCTTGAAGTGTAATTATTATCTTTTTTTAAAAGTGCCCCTATTAATAATGACTTTATATTTATCGTTGAGTATTTAATAGAAATAAATATAAAAAAATATGGTTAGTTTGAAAGTAAATCATTATTTTATTAGAGAGTGAGATTTGATTAAAAATATTTTATATTTTTTAACAAAAAGAGTATATGTTAACATTAAACTTACCTTTATAAAACAAATCGCTTTTCAAAACTATTTGGAAGAACTCGAACTATAAGAATTGCATATGGAGCAAGAAATTAAATAAAATAATAATAATAATAATAATAATAGAAGTGTTTGCTTTCCGACCAGAGCTTGAAAATTGGTGGTCTATGATTGAATTACAAAATAAAAAGAAGGCATGCAATTAATGCAATGCAAGTTGGCTCCTAAATAGTGGCCATTGCATTTGAATGCATTTGTGTGGACCCGGGTGGAAGGATCGTGTGTGCGCTGCTCATCATGTTTCGCCCCACTAAGAGCCTTCGGTTGGCCCTCCGTTTTCCCGTTGTCGGCCACGTGTCATGTTCTTTGCCGTTAGTTGCATCACCCTGATGCGATCCCTCACTTGCTTTTGAGCCCCATCTCACCCTACCGTTCCTCTCCCTCTACCATTTTGTGCAAATATCGTCATTTTCATTCAATTCATGCATTTTCCCTTCCTTTCCTTCACAACATAATTTCACTAACATTTTGCATTTGTCCTTAATGGTTCGATATGTATGGGCCAACACACACATATGAACGCATGCTATAAATTTATAACAAGTCAAACTTATGATGAGATGCAAGTAACAGAGTTTATATATGAGATGTTGAAACTTCTTGTGATATAATATTAAGGGAAATTTCAATTAAAGCCATCTGAACACAAAAATTTACATTTAGTTCTTAATGAAATTTGAAAATGTATTGCAATCTTAAGGGTTCTTCTTACAAATTTTGTTGTGGATAAAAAGATGCATTTATTTTTGTCTCAATAGAATGTTCGTGTATATATAATATGGTGTCCACGAATGCTTAATATAATGTTCACGAACACACAACATGTTTAATGTGCATAGTTCAGCTTGAAGTAAAATGTACATGCAAGTAAAAGATAACCAACACAATATTTATAAATGTATAACATGATGTCCATCAATTCTCAATACAGTAAACATATGTAGACCTATAACATTTGTATAATATAAAATTCATAATAAACAACATACTTTAAGTTAATACTCACTAGATGTATTGCATATTTATGAACATTGTATTAAAAATTCATAGACATCGTATTATGCGTACATGGACATTTTATTGAAATAAGGACAAATGCATCTTTTCATCCATAATAGAATTTGCAAGAAAGACCCTCAGGCTTGCAATACATTTTCAAATTCTATTAAATCCTAAATATAATTTTTTGTGTTATGGGGGCCGTAATTCAGATTCTTCCTAATATTAATATGCCAATCTTAACATAACATACTGAGGTACTGCTTCCATCTCACATTTTTTTTTATAAAAGTACATGTATCAATAAAGTTTATTAAATATATTTTACAATCTTATTTCATTAAAAACATGAATATAATTTTTTTAAAATACTCTCACTTATGACATTAAACAGAGAGAGAAATATTTATGAAAATTTATATATATAGTATAGTAATTTAGTTTAATTTGAATTTCATACAATGATGCAAACTATTTTTATGGAAGAATTACATTTAAGTCCTTCACAATATAATTAAATAAAAAAATGATAATTTTTTTTAGTAGCTATTTTGTTCAGTTGCTAATGCATTTTATATTATTTAATTGTATCACGAAGGATTTTGTATAATTCTTCTTTTATAAAATTTATTGATATATCAAAAAGAAAAGAAATAATTTTTTTTAAAAAAGGATGTAGTAAATTGAAACGTAGGAAATATTTATGAAAATTTATATATAACATAAAATTTCTAACAAATTCTGTTATTTAAAGCTATATATGAATATACTAATCTAGTTTAATTTGAATTTCATACAAGATGCAAACTAATTTTATGGAAGAATTATTTAAGTCCTTCATAATATAATTAAATACAAAAAGCTTCATAACAATTGAAGATAGCAAAATGATAATTTTTTAGTTGTTATTTTGTTATCGGTTGTTAATACAGAAGGATTTTGTATAATTCTTCTTTTATAAAATTTATTGAGCTATATAAAAAAGAAAATATTTTTTTAAAAAAAAGGATGTAGTAAATTGAAACGTAGGACATATTTATGGAAATTTATATATAATATAAAATTTCTAACAAATTGTATTATTTAAAGCTATATATGAATATACTAATGTAGTTAAATTTGAATTTTATACAACGATGCAAACTATTTTTATGGAAGAATTACATTTAAGTCCTTCATAATATAATTAAACACAAAAAATTTAATAACAGTTGAAGATAGCAAAATGATACTTTTTTGAAAGAATTATATCTAGGTTCCACACAAAAAATTAATTATTACAATGTCTGTTGATAATTAAACTAAAATTATTGACAATATAATTAGTTGTTAATGACTTTAATTCAATTGTTAGTAGATTTTGTAATAATTAATTTTTTTGTGTGCTTTTCAATGTAATTTTTCCTAATTTTTTAGTTGTTATTTTGTTATCAGTTGTTAATACATTTTATATTATTTAATTGCATTGTGAGAGATTTTGTATAATTCTTCATTTATAAAATTTATTGAACTTTATCAAAAAGAAAAGAAAGATTTTTTTTTCTCAAACAAGGATGTAGTAAATTGGAATAAGGGAAATATTTATGAAAATTTATATATGATATAAAATTTCTAAAAAGTTGTATTATTTAAAGCTATATATGAATATACTAATTTAGTTTAATTTGAATTTCATACAACGATGCAAACTATTTTTATGATAAAATTACATTTAAATTTTCACAATATAATTAAATATAAAAAACTTAAATAACAATTGAAAATTGCAAAATGAGAACTTTTTAGTTGTCATTTTGTTATCAGTTGTTAATACATTTTATATTATTTAATTGTACTAAGGAAGATTTTGTAGAATTCTTCTTTTATAAAATTTACTCAGCTATGTCAAAAAGAAAATACTATAAATGTACGATGATTATGGAAAAGGGGGAAAAAAAGATGTAGGTGGGGGAGCAGGGTTGATTTGGATTCCCTCGTGCGTCAATTGTTGTGGTCGCAAACTGGGTCCCACATGATTTTGTGTCAGAGAAGGTGAGACCCACCCACCCCTCAATTCCTTCACTACCAACAAGATGTTTTATCTTCTATTTTATTTTCCGAGTTTGGGCGCATTGCTTATACTTTCACTCAACTTAAATGCACTGCAGTTTTGGTACGTAACTTGTGAGTAACTGTTCTGCCCAAAAAAAAAAATTATCAATAATTGTTTCTATATATATTTCATATCAATATTTTGTTAATACCAAACCAAAAAAAATAATAATAATAAATTTGATAACTTCACTTCATTCCTTATGAGTTGGTCTTATATCTTTTTTTCATTATATAAATACTATCTTTATATCTTTTTAAAGCTGATATATTGTTTGGAGGGCATTTCTTGCTAAACATATTCTAAGGCTTTTTAAGGTACAAGGGGTATATTCTAGTGAAAGAAAGCATATCAAATAATAGCCTTTTTCAAATTAAGATTCAAGACTCTCTTTACTTGGTTTATCATAAGTAAATGGAATTGAGTTCTTATGACACACAATAGAAGTGGGTTCCATTGATTTTAGTGAAAATGGATTTCTTAGAGAATGCAGTTCACTTGCACCAAACAAGCAAATTTTAGAGTTCACTCTCATTTCTCTGCTTCCAATT